ATCAACTCTGGTTTTCAGTTGAAATTGGAATTGTTAATTTACACAATAATAGGAGTGCATTGACGATTTTTTCTTAACTCGCAAAAATCTTCAAACAATTTGCTACCGATTGGTGATAAAATTTTTTGGAAATAATGAACTAGAGGGGATAACGCCTTTTTTTTCAGGTGTGTTTTTTCAAAAATTTATTTAAAAAAAAAGTACTAACTAGCAAATGTTTTTTAGTAACTCGCAATTTTCTTCAAAACTACTTCAATGAGGAAAAAAATGAAAATTTGGAATATCTATACATGAGGGGCTAATTGATCGGACCTGAGATTTCTGAAGGATCGACTTGCTCTAGGCGTGTAGAGCAAGTGGCGCCATCGCAGTAAAGGCGGGATCGGATCGTTAGATCGATGAAGCGTTGGTGTGCGAAGTCGCGTTTTCGTTATCTATTCGGTTGGAAGTTGCTTGGTAGTTACCGTCAACGACGTAATTCAATTTTTCATTATTTTCGTGCAGTTTATCTTCTACCATAACTACGCTAATGCAGTAGAATAATTCCATAGCGTATTTCATTGGCAACACATTTTCAATTTTCGCATGCGCAAATTAGATTTGATTAAAGTTTATCCCTTTGGCAATGAGAATGTTGTTTTGGTTCCTCCACATGCTTATGATTTTTGATAGCGTGAATGCTAAATTTTACAGTTTCGGGGCAAATTGTCCTCAGATTTAGCAAATTTTCTCAAGTCAGCGGAGAAAAATTCACTATTTTCTTGCATTTTTTGCCCCTTTATAGGGCGAAAAGACGTAGAAATGGATTCCGCCCCATGATTATCTGACATATTTCGTAATTTTTTTTCGTGCAACAAGTGCAACATTTCTTCTCGAATATTCTTTATTGATCCATGCTCGAATGGGAATATAACGTCCTATTTTTCGACATTCATCTAAGACTTTTCAACCTGTCATCCATTGATATTTTTCAATGAGACGCACAGAAAAATAAATCGGACAAGAAACTCTGAAAATTTGTGTTAGAGATTTTCACTGAAATGATCTCCACCGAGTCACAGCCGATTGGAGTATAATAATTAATTGATGTGGTTGTATGTCTTCAAAAATTAAATTGCGACTTTTGGTATGCATTCCCCGAAATTCAAAATATCGTGGTGCCATCTGACCTACTTTCCGCGTATTCATCTTCATAGATTATGAACTTGCCACATCGCTAATTTCTCTAGCGTCAGCCACTGATAACTGCAGTTTAACTTATACGCGACGACACGCTCTGGACGACAAGGTATTTCCCAATATGGTCTTAGTTTTCCTCAAGGAATTTCACAACAGTAAAAATATTCTTTCAAGCAACAGAATGTTTCCTATTTTGTTGAGAAACATCTACAATTCGATATTTTGTCAGATTCATAATTCTGTTGTTCAAAAAGTAATTTTCGATGTTCAAGTTTCGGACGAGATCTCGTTTTCCGGGAAGGATAAAAGATATTCTCGAGTTTTCCATATGGACACCTTAATAATAGAGAAGCGTACGTGCTATGAGTTTCTTATGTAGGTACGCTTGTCTGTTATTAAAGTGTCGATATCCATTTCTGATGGAAACTATTCGATCTTTCATTATTGGAACGAACGAAAAATTTCCTTCAGAAAAAAAATATGAAAAACTCGAAAAATTTTTTTATCTTTTCTGAAAATGAGGTTTCATGAGAAACTTAAAAATTGAAATGAAAAAAAAGAATTATTTCACATTTCAACTGAAAAAAATTGCGAAACATATGACAATTTTCCGTGCTGGGTTGTGTAGGGGGAAAAGTTTAATAGAAAAACCTAACGAATGCGACTTTTATGTACAACTTATTCTATTGAGATATTTTCTATAAAATTTCCTCGGCTCGAATTTTCTGTTTTTTGTTTGATTTTCTTGATAAGAAGGAAATACGAAAGAATTAATTATGTGTTGAATCCTATACTAAAAATAATTTTTAGCCAACTGGTAGAAATAATAACGATTTGTTTGAAAACTGGGTTTTTGAGGATTTCTTTTAAACCTCTTCACTTAAGGATATCCAAGTATCTTTTACAGCTTGGTACAGACCACACTATAGATTCAATGATTTTCAATCATCAAATTTTGCAATTAAATTGCGTGAGAATTTTTTTTTTAAATCATGAATATTCAGCGGAATAATTATTTTTTCAAACATTCTTTGTGTATAAATAAATAATTGAAATTGTTTAAGCTTTCGGAAATCTTATTTTTTAGGCATGGAATCGATTTCTGGTAAAATTCTGAATATGAATAAATTTGTTACGATTCCAAACAAATTATTTTTACGATGGAAAATTAATTGTTTATAAATTATTCATTAAAAATGCTTGTAATATTAGAAAATTACAATTTTTCAATTATTTCATCAATCTTCCTCCAAAAGTGAACTTTCTAATTGTTATTCAGATTTTTGACATGTTTTTCAACGGTTCAATATCGAGATTCAAATTCAGACCTGCAAAATTTGAATAATAAAATCATTGCAAAATGTCCGGAAACAGGATAAAATGGAGTTCAAATGAAAGCTCTCGAGTTCGACAACAAAAGTATAAAAGATTTCACTGGAGAAAAAATAGTCAAAGTACTTGGATATCCCAACTAAAACACCGGAGACAAAAATTTAATTGGCTTTTCAACCTAGCACGGAACGCCGTCCTCCCTTGCGCCTTTGACTCATTTCGACATTTTATCCCAGATTTGCTCTATAGACTCGCATCTCCGTTCGAATCCGCTGACGTCATAGTTCGCAAAGAATTATTTCAATTCCTGAATGATGAGGGCTCTGGGAAGCTGTCTCTGCATTTTCCAGCTACTCGCTGTGTCCCAAGCCGGTCCTGGACTGCTGATTCCCCTCTACACTTACCCCTCCGTCTCCACCTGGGAAGCTCTAAAATCCGCTGCCTCCTCCAACCCATCTGTCGAGTTCGTCGCCATCGTGAACCCAAACAGCGGCCCTGGCAGCGATCTCGACAGTACTTACGTTACCGGTATCGATGGACTGACGGAGGTTGGTGTTAAGTGCATCGGGTACGTCAGGACCGATTATGGGGCCGTTGCCACAGACACCGTCACTGCCAACATGGATAAATACACGACTTGGTATCCGAAAATCTCTGGATTCTTTCTGGATGAAATGGCCCACAGCGAAGGCAAGGAGTCGTACTACGCCTCCCTGACGGCTCACGCTGTTGCAACCGGCAAACCCTTCACCATCGGCAACCCTGGCACTTCAACCACGCGGAAATACTTTGACACTGTCAATAATACCGTCATATATGAGACCTCGAAGCTGCCGCAGCTGTCCGCCCTCGATCTTGGCTTCCCCAGTTCTGGATGTTCGATGATCGCTTACGACGTTGCTGCCTCCCAAGTCAATCAATCTTACGTTGATAACGTCCTACAGTACACGTCTCTCATCTATATTACTGACGATAAGCTTGACAACCCCTATGACTCGCTGCCGACCTACTTCAACCAACTCGTTGATCATCTCCGCGTTGCTATCACCTCTAAGCACTGATCCTCGACATCCGCTTCGCCAGGTGCTCCATCTTAATTTGTATAGATGGATAGCTCACCAAATTCAAGCGAATATAAACCAATTTTGAAACCAAACCTTTCTGGTAGTGGGAAAAACCGGTTCTTTACTCTGGATAAATGAATGACAAACGTGTACCTAGGCAATCTACAGTCTACAGAAACGAGTGGGCGATTGCATTTTTTAAAATAAATGAGTACAGTCATTGTTGATAATAAATTAGACATTTGCTTTCGAATGGGTTCTCTTTTTTAAATCTTATTTCACTGTTCACTTCTACTTTTTCATGCCATAGTACTATCATCAATTGAAATGTCATCAACAGTTTGTGTATTATTTCGTTTTGCCAAATAATTCTGTGCAGGAATAGCCAAATTCATAATATTTAATTACCGTTAAATATTGGAGCCATCAATTAGTTAATATCACTCTTGAATTTTTGGAGTACTTAAGTATCATCAATTCAAATATTCAAATTTTTAACTCTTATCAATCAATAATTGAGGTAGGAAGATTGAAGATTATTTGTGTAATCGAAAATCCTATTTTAAGAAATTAGAGTTATTCACTTAGTGGTAAATTTACCATATTAACAAATTTTAATCTATTATTATTCAAGAAAACTAAGATTATTATTATTATACTATTTGAAAAATTTGATCAGCGTATTTTAAACCTTCATTAATGTAAGGGGCAAATTCTTGTAATATTACAGAAATTTAATATTGATGGCGATCTCTAATTCTATATTTAGACCCTCTCAAGACTCGAATTCGTTTTCGCCCGGGTTTAATCAGGGTTTATTCAGGTTTTAGCCAAAGTTTTAGCCAAAAATCGATCATCATTTTCACTATATTGCATTCAGATGCTTCAATCCTTAACGTTAAAAATGTGAGATAATTTCATAATTGCAGCTAACTTTAGCCAATAATTAATTGTAACCAACTTTGTTCGATGAAAACCGGAGTAAACTCAATATTAAGAAAGTTGAATTATTGTATTTTCCTCTGACCTGAATGATTCGCATAATTATAATTCGTTTATTCATGTTTCATGAAATGGTATTCAATCATAAGTACAATTGAATTTCTTCTCGAACACAAGTTAGAGTGTGAATTTGTGGAATTCAATGTTTGTTGATACTCTCGTAAGAGTTCGTGCCCACGCTGTTGTCAATTTTCAATTGGTTCACCCGGTAATTCAATCAATTAATCTGTTGTATTGATGTCTCCTGGAAAATTTAACGCATCGCAATTGTATTCATGAAAATCGCGTTACCTTCTCCATTCGTTTGAGATATTGCCCATGCTTTTTTTTAGAAAGGAAACACCAGAATGAGTTGAATTCGGACTCTTCTTCCACTTCTCCACTAAATTACACAGCATAAATATTCATTTGCCTTCGATTCGATCATTGATGAGTAATGAGAATAATCTTTTAGTTCCATGTACCTGATTCCGCATCTGCTGAGCCTGGCAGCGATATTAGTCCTCCCAGTATTACCCTTGGGACACGCGCACCGAAAACGCGAGGTACCATCCACAAATGGGCAAGAGAACTCTCGCCCCAAAGTTGCAGAACCGGAAGCGCACAATGGACTCTCGAAGAAGGCAGACTGAGTCTCTATTTCTGTTCACCATTTTTACACCTTTTATATTGATAACGTTCAAATCTTTGTACTCTATTTTATATGAATTATATCTTTGATTATTATTGTATCAGATGATATTCTAGTGTGAATCCGTTGATGCGTATAATTATTTTTATGATGAATTGACATACGTCTGAAATTCCAAGTACTCAGTTTTTTACAACAAATACAAATCAGGGTTTCAATGCTGCATTGTTTTCAATGCTCGTGTAATATGTTTTGGCTTCCGATATCCGTAATAATGTGAACATGTGATTTCATTAGATAGAAAATCAACTATTCTTGGAACTGGATGTTGAATTCATGTATTTTACAGATTGAACGAATTTTTAATAAAGCATGATGTGAGATGAACAATTATTCTGAAATTATTCCATATGAATAGTCCTATTTAAGGATAACCAGTGAAATGCTTTCATTTGAGTGTCATTTCACACATTTTATAATTATTTTATTATTCAAAGTTTACATCTCTGATGTAGAAATCTCGATATTCGAAAGTTCACTTTTGGGCGCAGATTGGTGAAATAATTTGAAAAAGGCAATTTGTTAAAAATACGAGCATTTTCAATGAATAATTTATAAACAATCAATTTTCCAGCATAAAAATCATTTTTCCGGAATCGTATCAAATCCATTAACATTCAAAACTTTATCAGAAATCAATTTTATGCGTAAAAAATATTTCCGAAAGTTTAAATAATTTCAATCATTTATTTATAAACAATGAATGTTTAGAACAAGTAAGAAATGGCTCTTGTATTGCAGGCAGTACAGTAATTTTTGCTTACATAAATTTTCTAATTTTTTTTTATCTTTAAAATATTCATGTTCAAATTCAGACCTGCAGCGATTAGATAATAAAATCCTCTATTTAAAGATTGGTATTACCTTTTTCGTCAGCAATCTATTTCGCCAGGGATAACCATAAGCCTAGGAACAAGGTTAATCTTTGCTTAAGATCCTAGATTATACAAATCATTGTTTTATATTCTTTTTTAAAAAGATATGTTCTGAATAATTTTGAAAACATGTATATATTCTATTATATATTCTATATTGTATATTTATATATTTATATAAATAAATGAAATAAAATAAATATAAATAAATAAATTGAAAAAATATCTTCTTTTAAAGAGATGAAAAAAGATTTGTAAAATCCAGGATCTTCAGCAAAGATTAGCTAATGGATGGATTCTATTCTGGATAGTTTATGGAACAATTTAACTACTTTGTGACATGAAGTAATCATTTAGTGTCAAATAATATAATTCTAGCTGTAAAAAATCGTGGTAGAAACGCGAAATTAAATTATATATTCCTTTGATTGTTTATTTTGTTACTTTTATTATTGTCAAAAATGAGTGAAAGGGTAAAAAATACAATGAACTAGCTTAAGTATGCGCGTTCCTTCTCTAGTCATTGTAAAATGTCCGGAAACTTGGGGTAAAATGGGGCTCAAATGAAACCTCTGATGTTCGACTAGAAAAGTAGAAAAGCTGTTGACTGGAGAAAAAATAGCCAAAGTACTTGGACATCCTCAACTCCTCCAGAATATTGAATTATTGCTCCAACCAAAGACTGCCCTCAACATTTCCGGAACAACAATGACTCACGTCTTATGACCTTGAAACACCCTGAAGAACTGTGTCAGCTGCGAACATATAGTACAATCGATCAACATTTCGCTCTCCACCCAACGCTAATTCAGATGTATGACAGGTGTTTCTTCGAGTGTTTCCATCTACGTAAATTGTACTTTTTTTAACTCACCGAAGGGAGGAAGGGGGAAAAGCGGGCTACGGGTTTATAATCGTGTAAAGAGAAGCACAAAAAATGTAGAGCCACTCGTGAAGCCCCATTATCCCTCGCGCACATCGCAGTCACGATTGAAGGGTGAGAGAAGAATATTCAAGTCCACATATTTTACATCAGTCGGCTGGAAGCAGTTTTACGTAGAGGACGCCTGCCTTATGAGTCGCCATCATGGTGAGTTAACAATTAATTAATAAGTAGAGATCATTCTAGGTAAACAATATTAGTTATTTTGGAGAAGAAATCTGGAATCGATTTGGAAATCGGAAAAGTCAGGGAATTTTTATGAATACTATTTTTGTAGTGTAAAATTTATTGTGAAAATCGCCCGGTCCAGTCCGGATTATTGAGAAATTCACAGGAAAATTCAATCTTGAAGTCGAACCAATGGATTACATCTGAGTTTGGGAATTTAAAATATTATACAATTTAATAACTAAATTTTCCGATTAATGGTGAATAAAATAAAATTTTAGGTACTTGATTTTTGATTATCGAAATAATCGCCTATCTTCCCACCTAAATTATTGGTTAATAGAATATTTCAAAATTTGGATGTACAAATTGATGGTTCATTCAATATTTAAAATTTTTAAGATTTATATTAAAAATTGGCAACTTGACAAGTTAACGATAATTATGATTGATGAATATGCCGATCACTGGTTTGGGATTCCCCGATTTTCCTTCATTTTCAAGGTGTTCCTTCAAGTTTAAAAATGAGACTAGATTCATCTGAATCGTAGAATTTTATCAGCAGATATTAACGATTGGACAAAGTCATTGTACTGTCCTCTAATTCCAGGAGGAAATCGTCTGAAAAATGTTCTTTTAATAATATTTCCTACCACCCCTCACTACCAAAATGATCTGATAATTCAGAATACGAGTTATAGAGACCCGAAGAATTTTTTTTCAACTTCAAAACTCGAGACATCTAATAGAAATCAATGTTTTCTTTCGCCTTTTCATTTAGAATCTGTTCGCATTCGTCAAACTTGGATATGCCATGACCATTGCAACCCTCCTGCTCATGTTCTGGGCGTCAATGGTTAGAATGCATGAGCTACCAGTCCAATATCCTCCCTGCTTCTTCAATCCGCTCTGCACTTGTTCGAAAGCAATTCCAGACCTTGGAATTGTCAACTGCGAAAATGTACCGATGCCCAGAATCCCGCAGCAGATCAACTCCTCCAAAGTTTTCATTCTCAAATTGGGTAATAACGGATTACGACACATTCAGCCCCAGTTTCTCGTCACTACAGGTATTGTTGGATGAGTAAATAATGGAATGAGTTCAGTGGTTTTGTTTGGGTACTAGATTGACATATTTGTGTCTCGTCCTTCAGGCCTCTACAATCTGCAAATAAGAAATAATCCCCTATCGGATATACCGGACGAGGCGTTCCTAGGGCTTGAAAGATCGTTATGGGAGTTGGAGCTACCTTACAACCAGCTTGTTAAAGTACCCAGCAAGTCTTTTAGACATCTCCAGAAATTGAAAATCCTCGACTTGACAGGTAATTATTATTTTTTTGACAGAGTAGTCATGTTTGTGATAATTCGTGAGAAGAATTTTCAATTTTCAGGAAATTAAACCCCATTTTTTGGGAGGCTTGACCCTAATTGGATTTCTATTGAACTGTTTAGTAGAAAATATTTGATAGAAAACGTCAATTCGATTTTTCTATTCAACTTATTCTATTGAGATATTTTTTATAAAATTTTCAAGTCTTTTTGTTTGATTTTCTTGATAAAGAGGAAAGAAAAATAGAATGAAAAAACTTAGAAAATTTGAGCCGAAGGAATTCTATAAAAAATATCTCAATGGAATAAGTTGTATAGAACAATCGAATTCCATTGACTTTTTCTGTAAAATATTCAAGTTCAATTTTTTTAATTAAATTTTTTTGTATGTGCGACCCTGGATTTTTCTGCAACAACAGGAGCACATAATGCGAATAATTCCTAAACAACAGTTCTCCTTCTTCATATTTCAGGGAATCAGATCTCCTCGATTGCAGCAGACAATTGGCGAGGTCTTGAAAACTCCTTGCAAACTTTGCGACTCGGAAAGAACACGATCGATAAACTGCCAGCCGATGCATTCTCCGGACTGAAATTCCTCGAAACACTCGACTTGAGGGAGAATAATTTAATGGAGTTCGATTCATCGGTCTTTCGCGACGGAATGGCGCATTTAAATTATCTCTATCTGAGTGGAAATCAGTTGACGATGATCCCCTATAGTCAGATATCGCCGTTGAAGCATTTGAAAATACTGGACTTGAGTTACAATCAGATCCGGAGGATGCTCCAAACGCAGACTGAACCAGAAATTCAGGGATTACAGATTTCTTTGGATACTCTAAGGCTGGACTGGAATCAGATTGAGACCCTACCAGTTGCCTCTTTCCAGCATTTTTTCAAAGTCAATAAGACGTATTTGAGTGGAAATCCTATTGGGCATGTGGAGGTTTGTATTAATTCTTATCATAAATTCATTGTGAAGTGAAGACGATCGTAGCACCACCTTGCATATGCATGGAATGTGCCAGCATATTGAGGCAGGAGAAATGTAGCTTCTCTATTTTATGAATTTTATTTTTTTATAGGTAGACAAAATTTTTTCAAACGATTTTTAAAATCGTATTAGTTACCTATGATTTCTTTGCTTCATACGTACGAATCTATATTCATTCTTTCATTTTATGAACGTTTTTCGCCCTTTCCTTTGAAAAAAACGTCAGGTAATGTAGCAACCTTTCAGGAACCGTTTGAATTTTGATTCGTCGCGGTCTGATATGTAGTTAATTAATTATTCATAAAAAACAGTCGAGCCCATTTTCATTTTCTCGGCACGTTTAACATAGGAAAATTGGCCACGATCGTGGCGCCACCTTACATGTACATGGAATGTGCCTATATATTGAACCAGGAGCGGCTCAAGAGGACTCATAAATGTCCTCTTTCCTATTTTATAAAAATATCGGTAGCAAAAATTTTTTCAAACGATTTTTTATGTCCGAGAAGAAATTCTATGATCGTCTTAGGCAATGTCCAATTAATTGTCAGAAAATTCCGTAATTTACCTATGATCTTTCGTTTCGTATGTACAAATCTATATTTATTCTTTTATTTAACGAACTCTTCTTATAATTTCCTTCAAAAAACGTCAAGTGATGTAGTAATCTTCCACGAATCGTTAGAATTTTGATCAACCGCGATCTAATGTATAGTTAATTGATTATTCATAAATACGTCAGGAACATTTTTACCTTCTCCGCACATTTAACATGGGGAAAGTGGCCGCGATTGTGGTGCCACCTTACAGGTAAATGCAATCTACCTGCATATTGAGGTAAGAATGACTGAAGTAGGCTCGGAAGCACAACTTACTCATTTGATAGGTAGCAAATATCTTATTTATATTAGGTAAGTTCTATTATAATATTCGCAATTTAATCATTGTCAACCATCAGAAAATCCCGTTGGTTCCACATAAATTTTTAATATGAAGGATTCTGATTAACACAAATCGATTGATTAAATTCATAGGAAGGTGCATTCAAAGATTCGAAAATCCGAGAGCTCTATTTCACTGATTGTGACATCAGGGAAATAGATTCAGCATCATTGAGAGGTTTGGAGTCATCGCTGGAGCATCTAGACTTGTCCGGGAACAACATAACTGATCTTCCCAACCATGTTTTCCAAGAATTTGATTTCCTGAGAACTCTGATTTTCCGGGAGAACAAGATTACAACATTCTCTCCACGTAAGGTTTACTTTTGATAACTGGAGAAAAACCAAAACGACACATTTTAAAATCGTTTATCTCCTTCCATAAAGTATTACGGAGTCCAAGTCATTTTTATATAAAAAATCTCAACAGAATAATTTGTACAGAAAAATCTAAATGAATTGATTTTTTCGATAGAAATCCAATAGAATTTTCTAGTGAATACGCAAAATTTTTCTGTAAAATGATTTCGTCCGTGTGATAATTACAGAAGAGGTATTCACCGGATTTCAATATTCTCTCTACAACCTGGAGCTAAGTGGACGGGAAAACGCAGCTGTATCTCTCCAAGACCTCCGTCAGATGCGGAACCTGCGATTCTTATCGATATCCAAAATGCCTCAGTCGACTCTCTCCCCCGACGACTTCCTGGAGTTCGGAATTGACGTCAAGGAACTGCACATTATCCAGAGCAATCTCAATACCATCAAGGGTCACACCTTCACCCACGTCCGGGGGATAAAATACTTGGACTTCTCGGAGAACTCCATCTCCTCAATCGAGGAGAACGCTTTCACCGAAGTTGGACACTCGCTCATAACTCTCAAACTCGCTCATGCACTGTCCATGACCGAAGTACCAGCGAAACCATTTGCAGCACTTACTAATCTTCAGTATCTGGATTTGAGTAATAATCAGCTTCGCTCGATGCCTGAGAATTCGTTCCACTTTTTGAAGAGGATCAAACGGATTGAGATTCAGGATAATGAGATTTCGGATATTAAGAAGGGAACGTTCCAGGTGAGGGCACTAATTGTGTGAATTAATTAGTGCAAAAAAGGTTTTAGTAATGAATTTGTAAAAGATGACTTGACATGAAGCGGTTGATCTGTAAAAGGAAAATGATGAGATTGACAATTTTTCGTATAACTTTTATCCATTTTGTTTTGAAGTTATTAACAATCGAAATGATTTCGAGGAATTCATAGAAAAAGCAATTATAAATGCATTGAAAAAAAAATAGTTCACTGCAGAGACATCCATTGACTTCCCAAACATTTTTTCCAAATGTCAAAATGTCTCTTAGAATTCGAGAAAATGATCTTTTACTGTTGCCAGAAAGGGTCGATACAATGCATTAACCCCGGCCGATAAGACAAGATTATGGGTCGATGCAAGCTATCGACGCCGGACGTCAGGGGTTAATATTCCAGCGATGAGTGGAGTATTGTCAAACGTCTGAATCGATCACTCGAAAAATTTTCTAATAATCATTACAGGGTGACATTCACTCCACTCTTGAAGAAGTCAACTTCGGCTACAATCAGATATCGAACCTCCAAACCCACACATTCGTCGATCTAGCGGCGATGACAATCCTCAACCTTCAGGACAACAAGATCGAAAAGATCGAGAGACGAGCGTTCATGAACATGAATCGTCTCAAGTACCTGAATCTCAGAGGAAATAAAATGAAGACCATCAACGACGAGTCCTTCCAGAATCTACCGGACCTGGAGTTCCTCGATATGGCTTACAATCAACTTCCTGAGTTTGATTTTGAATGGTTCGATCAAGTCGGCACTCTTGCAGCACTCAAGGTCAATGCGAGTCACAATGGGATTACACGATTGAAGATCAATTCCTCGAGTTATCTTCCGGCCACTAGCAGTAAGTACAAATGTTAATAAACCTGACAGATTAATTAGGAATTTATAGTGTGAGAAAAATCGAAAGACGTCTTTTCCGTTTGAAGATTAATTTCGAAAGAGAATTATGTCATTGGACTTTCACTTGGCTCTAATTTTATTGAGATATATTCTGTAGGAACTTCTTGGTGTAAATTATTTCAGTGTTTTTTCACTTCATTTTTAGGGAAATTTTTAAAGGTAATATTTCAATCGAATAAACCTTGTTCTATGAAAGCATCATTTTTTCATATGTATCGTACGATATTTCATGATACTGGTGGTTGTTTTTACTTGTACATAAAGAATATTTCTTATTGTTCGCTGAAATCGTTCGATTTTCAGTTCCAAGTGTTGCACAGTGTTCATCCACCTGATTGATTAAATTGTATTCGAATATAGAATTGTATTATAATAGTAATGAGAACTATGAATCATTTAAAAATGTACAGGGAACTGTGGATTTCTTCAATAAACTAGACGGAAAACGAATAAATTGTTCTAACGAATGCGTTTAGGTTTTTCTAATAAATTTGGTCATCCCTGCTATAATCGCAATCTATTTCTCTAGTGTATTTTGCTGTTGGTGGAACTCTGCAATCGAACATCAAGGTCCTGGATCTCAGCTGGAACAATATAACTGACATAATGAAGTTCTACTTCCGTCCAGTGGAGTACTCATTAACCCACTTGTACCTGTCACACAACGAGCTGATGAACATGACTCAAGGTGTCTTCGGATCCCTTCCTCACCTCCAGTGGTTGGATCTGCGTCACAACGACATCATGGAGATCGAGTTCGACTGCTTCAGGAATACAAAGAACATTCAGGTGCTTCTGCTGTCCCACAATGATATCGTGGACATACCAGCAGACGTTCTGAGGACACTGAAAAAACTCAGGATTCTGGACCTCTCTCACAACAGACTGAGAACACTTCCGGATAACGTCTTCACTGAGCCCAATCTTGAGAGCCTGGATCTGTCGCATAATCAGTTCATGAGATTGCCGATTAAGTCGCTGGCTGGACCTGCTGCTGGATCCCTTTCGGTTCTTGATATGGGATGGAATATGCTCTCTGGGATTCACACGACTGATTCTATATCAAGGCTCAAGGTAGGTTACAATTTATAATAACCCACTCGTATGGACAAATGTGATAGAAATATTAAAGTATGAATACAATCGTTTTTTCCTCAATATTTGCCATGGAAATTTCCCCAATTGAGAATGGGGTAACGTCGGAGGTTTTCTTTTTCGTTTCCCCCCTAAAATCAACCAAAAACCTCAACTTCCTTCGCAGGGTCTCACCCACTTGGACGTCTCCTACAACCGGCTGGTGCGCCTGGACGACGGTGTCTTCTCCGAACTCCCCCACCTGACAGAGCTGGACCTCAGCCACAACAAGCAGCTCCTCCTGGAGAGCCGGGGCCGCACATTCTACGGCCTGGAAGACTCCCTCCTCACCCTGGGCCTCAGCAACATCTCGCTCCTCAGCGTCCCCGAGCTCCCCTTCCACCGTCTGCGTACCCTGTACCTCGCCAACAACGAGCTCGCCTCGATTCCCGCCGAGCTCGCCTCCAACCTCTCCTCCCTCCACCACCTGGACCTCAGCCACAATGACCTCACAGTCGTCCCGCTGATCACTCACACCCTCTCAGAACTCCGGAGCTTCAACCTCGCCTACAACCCCATTACTGCCGTCACCAACACGAGCTTTCTGGGTCCAGCAGACAGTCTCATCGAGCTCGACATGCGAAGACTTCCGCTTTGGACTTTTGAGAGTGGCGCCCTCTGCAAGGCCTCGAAGCTGCGCTCCCTCCACGTAACTGCCTATACCGCAATCAAAAACTTCAACTTGCCGAGTTTACTGGAGCATAATCACGGCCTGAGACATCTCCACATCGACATTCAGAACGAAACGAATTTGGAGAAAGAGATGAGGGGAAATTTTCCAGCTAAACTTTACAACTTCACGTTCAGCGGACGGGACTTCAAGGCCGTCGACAAGGGCATCTTGAGAGGGATGAGGTCGCCTCATCTTCACTTTGCCCTCTTCAACACTTCTGTCAGTAAAGTTCCCAGGGAGATGTTCGAGACGGCCAGATCAGTCAGGAATGTCACTGTTAATCTCTGGAATAATGACATAAAGACTCTCGAGAATCCGTCGAATGGACACAAACCTGGGGCGGCCAACAAGAAGTTCTTGATGAGGCTGAGGATGGCGGGGAGTCACTTGACCTGCGACTGCGATATTGGGTGGATCGAGGGCTGGCAGAGGAAGCAGAGGCAGTACCAGGAGGACAGGTGCTCCTATCTACCTCTTCGACAGTATAACTTCGAGAGGGACGAGAATAATGAGTACAGCTGCTGGGATAACGGGTGGGATGATGATCTGAGGGAGAGCTACTGCTCGAACAAGAATAATAAGTCTGTGCAGAAGACGCTGAAGGATGATATCGAGTGCGGGTGGTCTTCAGCTTTCAGCTTCCAGGTCTCTTGGGGTCTCATGGCTATTGCGGCTGTCTTTGCAGCTTATGCTTATTGAGATTTCGGGAGGAGGCGATGGGAATTTGACATTGTTTCGTCAATTGAAAGGGGGGAGAGTTGCAGGGAGTTTCCTGGGGTTCCTCATCGATTGATGAAGGATTTCTTCGAAGGAGGTCATGTGGGAGAGGTGAAGTGTCTTGGTTAATATTCGGAAGGGCTTGATGTGAGGAGATTCTTGTGTAGAATAAGTGCAACGAGAGTTGTGTACTGAATATAAAGTAATGTAATATTAAGAATGATTAAGAATAAATGAATTGTGAAGACGATGGGTTTATTTCTGTTGTTGGTTAGTTGAAGAATAGTATTTGGGAGATGATGCCGAAGACCATTTGCAGGATTGGGAGCCAGATGGAGCCGAAGATGAAGAATAGGCAGATGTAGATTGAGATCAGCTGGAGTCCGAAAATCGCGGATTTCGTGGCTTTCTGCTGGGTGTCTTTTGAGGAGAGGATACCCACGGCTTTATCCAGAATGAACCTGGAGACGAAGAGGAGAATCTGGAAGAGGGACCAAATTAATTGTTTCCAATTATTGGTTATTATTCAATTAATTTGATTTTAAGAAAATTAAGGATGGCCATAATTTTTCTATGAATTAGCTTATTTTACGATAAATGACTGGTTTTGAGACGAAATGACAGAAAAACTTGTTTGTCACTGAGAAAATTTTGTATAAGGAAGTTTTCCGATTTGTCTTATCATCAGTCATTAAAAAGCTAATCTCAATTGAAAAATTGGAAAAATAGTTTACGTGAACGGAAATTTTTTTTTAAGAATCAGAAACATGAAAATTATTGTACATGGTGGCAATTTCGAAAGCTTCTCTCGATGTTCACATGGGACAAGAACGTAAAAATTTACTAAGAATACATTGAGAAATTTAATCTCCTAGATTATTTTAATGAATTTACTAGAATTTTCTATGAATTTTTTTCCCGTGTGCGAACTTCCGTAAAAATTCTCGAAATTCCAAGAAATGAATGCCTAATCAGAGAAAAATACCCGACCCGGAAACGGTTGAAACCTTTCTGCATTGAATTTCAAAATTTCTAATCGATTTATTCGTTAATGTTGTAATTTACTTGTGTCATGGGAGCAATGTTGACGAGAATAAAGAACAACGCCAGGAAAGATTTTCCTGTAGCCTGACCCATAACCTTCAGCAGTGAACCGAAACAGTACTCATTCCGGGGAATCCCCTGACTCTCTTGATAATCCGCCAGATAATCTCTCGTTCTAACCAAAAAAGTTGGGTTCTCCTTCTCCGGCTCTTCGCTCTTCTCGCTCGGCTGAATCGAAAATTTCTTCGGCTGCAAGGGACCGGGATTCGATATGCTGTAGACGTTTTTGGATTTCCACTCGGGTGCTCCGAATAATGAGGACAGATTCAACATCTCTCGGGTGAAAATTCGAGGGTTGGTTAACCAGGACTTGGGGGCGTCTGCCCAATCACCTGAGGTGACAGAATCACTGCAGGCGGGCTCGTTGGGAGGTGTAGAGTCTGGTTGATGCAATTTCGCGTTCTCCAATAGTTTCTCCATGATTTCTAAAGTGTCGAGCTTCTTCAGGTGGCTCTTCAAAATTAATTATTAATTTAGAAATGGATTATGTGTAGATGAGTGACCCCGTATGGCAAATTTATTAACCTTTTATTAAAAAATCGATTGTTTTTCGCCAATTTTATTTAAAAATCTCCGCAGCTGTCCTGCGGTTTTTCTTTTTGCTTCCGAGTGGAAGCTTTGTTATTGTTACAATTTAATTTTCCAATTTTCTTATGAGAGATTAATCGAATTGCATAATTTTTTTAATGAATATAGACTTTAATAAGCTCTATTCATTGATACCAATTAAAATTCAATTTTTCAAGCAGATTCGAAAAAATTATAATAGTAATTAATATTAATATGAATCCATTAATAATAAATATAATTATTATATTATTAATAGCTTATTCATATTGATTCATCGGTCCAACTAATTACTGACAGAACGAAATGATACACAAAATTTTGATGATATTTCAATTAACGATAGTACTATGACATGAAAAAATAGAAAAAGAGAATAGTGAGATAAGAATTGAAAAAAGAGAATCCATTCGGAAGCAAATTGCGAATTCATTAGCAACAATAACTGTACTCATTTATAAAAAATGCAATTTTCCATAGAAATTCTTCGATAAAAATTTTCTTTTTTGATTCAATTTTTTTTTCTTATTAGAAAATTCGAGCGAAAAACGTAGTAAACTTGAGCCCCAGAATTTTCCACTGGAATGTATGAAAAACGATAGAGTTTTCAATAAAAATTCGACAGAGCTTCTTAATGCACTAGGTATTTCTTTTCAATTTTTTCTTAAGTGATAGAGAATAGAGTGAAAACATTAAAAAAATGTCTAAACAAATTTTGAACCTATCTGCTGTCATTTACAATATCAATATTGAATTTTTGCTCGTTTAGAATTTCTAAAACTTACCGCAACCGCTTCATCAAGCTCTTCATCAGACATTTGGTTATTATTGTTACTTGCAGATTCAAACAGCATGTTGACAGATTTTAAAGAATTTATTCAGCTTCAATTGAAAATTTTGACAATGTCGATTTATTTTTCATTCGCAAATGAGTGAATAAATGAATGTCGCAGATTCTAATTTCCTCACTCCTCACTTCACTTTGAAAATTTTAACAAATAGTCCAATCTAGTCCATAAAATGAACAGGAAATAATCAATGACAACTTTATTAGATGATGGAAACATGCATTTATTGACAGGATAGACATACAATATAACAAACGTGTTGTTTGTATATTTCTAAAATCTCTAATGGAATCAAGTCGAGGCTGACATAATAAAAAAGCAATATTCGATAATAATAAAAACTATCATTGCGAAAAAGCTTAAAATATAGGCAACAATAGTAAACACTCGATTCCCTCAAAATTTGCAATATTTTCATTTGCTCAACAAGCGGAAGGAGTGCGACAGTAATTCGGGATAAAATGATCCATAAAAATATACCTCATCCCTATAATTTAGTTTCGTCCCAATCACCTTTTTCATAAATTAAGATAATTCAAAACGAAATCCTCTACATTGACTCCAGTGATGTCCTAAAGCAGTCCAAAACTAATTTCCAAGTGATTTCGCGAATGTCTTCAAAAGGACTCGTTTGAAAAAATTCATCAGATGACATTCTTGTCGAGAATGTCACGAGCAATGAAAATGTTCTGATATTTCTCTGTAGGCCCACGAGATATAAGCGAAATAATCCTCAGAAAATTGTACTCATCTTCTCATGCAAGATCCATAACTCCAGATCTAATGGATCCCCTCCCTTATATTTTTATAAAAAATATTTCTGCTCATAAACTCTTAACTATATCAAATAGTTGTGTCAATTTCAGAAAAAAAAATTAAGCAAAATACAATTTTTTCTGTATACGTTGAATTACTCATAACAAGTTCAACTTTGAAATAATAAAATAGTTGTTGATGTTACGTTGAATATGAAATTACTTCTTCAAGGCTGATTGCAATATAGCAGCTCTCAAGGACGTAACCATTTTCTCGAGCGCCTCCACTTTCATCTTTAAAAGTCTATTGTCCTTCTCGAGCTGTCCAGCTCTCGCCATCATCTCACTCTCCTTCGCCTTCTTGTTCATCCTGGATTTTCGTGATGCCTCGTTATTCTTCTCCCTGTTCTCGCGATAACTGCAGTCTGACATTCTGTCGTCTGAATCACTCTCGAGAGATCGTTTCTTCCCCCGATTCGTCGTCCTGGCGTACGTTGGCTCGATCGTCGGCTCAGTCTTGAATCTTTTCGGGGTGGATCTTGCTCTTGTCGTCCTCGATGACGATGGCCGCGAGCTGTCCAAGTGTGCACTCGAGCCTGATAAACTTAATGATGTTATTGTTTCCGGTTTGCCCTCAATTTTTATTGGTTTTACATTGCTGAATGTTGGGTGTTGAAGTAAGTTTTGGGTGGATACACTGGCTGAGTCTGTTGAGACACTACCGTCTTGCGATTGGATTTCATCCTGGGAAATGAGAAAAAAATATGGCATGTAAAAAAGTCTGAAAATTGTAGAAATTATTTCAGAAATATGAAAATAAATGAATACAAAATGTTGGAGAATGCTTTCTATGACATGAAATTTCCTGCAGGAGGATTTGAAAATATTGTGACTGTCGAAGTAATTTAACTGTTAGCAAAGGGAATGGAGAAAGAATGTGTTGAAGTATTTTGATATTTTATGTATTCTTAGATTCAATTAAAAATTGTTGACTCAAATTATTCATAAATTTGTAACTCGACACGCAGAAATATAAATAATTTGTTACAAAATTTTGACACTCACGATAATTTTCAAATTAATTTCTTCTGACTTTTTCAGATTTCTTCTAGATTTTAATCTTCTCCTTAATCTCGGAAAGTTCATTTCCTCATAAGACTCCGCGTTATTTTTGCACTTCTAGATTAATTATTATCAATTAATTATTGATCATTATTAATAATTAATAACAATTATTAACCATTATTATTATTATCAATAATGAATTATTATTATCAATTAACTATTAATAATTAATTATAATTACTTATTGATAATAAACAATTAATAATAATTGTTATTAATAATTATTAATTATAAATAACGCTAGACTGCCGATTGAGCAAAAACTCAACCAGAACGTTTCCATTCATATACTCTCATTTAGATTTCTTTTTCAGATTTCAATTTTCAAAATAAAAGTTATGTTTATATTGCTTCAACGCAAAACTTACATCGCACAAGTAAGATAGCAGATCGAACGAATTCAGTCCAGTGTTGTCGAATGTATTAATACCGTCCCAGTTCTCCCTCGGAAGAGGCTCATCCACCCTATCACTATCCTCCAACTTAATCCACTCGTCGGTTCTCAATGCTATCGATGATTTAGGCGAATCCAACCAAACGTCCGGTATATCCGCAGACTCGTCAATTTTCTCCTCCTTGGGTTTGTATTTATGGATCATTTGTGTGTTAATTATATCCCTCCCACCCTCCATTATGTCTTTGTTCTCCTCCAATGTTTTACTCCCGTAAGTTACCCCCTGGCCCACTTCAACTGTCCCCAAAGTCGTTGAAACGCTCTTATCGTCGATTTTCCCACCTGGAAATTGAGAAAGTTCATCAAAACCATTTATTACTGTTAATCAGACAATATGACGTCTTTGAGACGAACGAGATTCTCTCGCTCCCTGACAACTAATTTTTTGTCATTTGAAGATAATTTGAATTTTCGTAACATCAGGGAAAACATGACATTTTTTTATTAATTAACAAATTATTTGAGGAACTAGAAATTTTACAGGAAAACGTAGAGTTATTTTTTCAGACAAGAAAATTCGCGTTGATAAGTCTCATCATAAGGACAATTATAGAATAACATGAGAACGGAACTAACACTTGTTGTTGATTAGGAAATCATTTTACAGTTAATCAAATTCCTAACACAAGATGTTTCAACGATTCACCGGTTATGATAAAGGTAACACTTGTAATGTATTTTCATTTTTTAATGCTTTTTATTCTGCGAAGACATTCAAATTTCTCGTCATAAATTTCGTCTTTCGTCAAAAAAATATAGATCCATAGAAAAAATTCTAAACGAATGTTTCACAGAACAATCGAAACCTACTAATTTTTTTCTCTCCAACATTTTCCGATTGAAAAATACACTCAACGGAATGAATTATTGAAATTAAGTAAATAATGTTTCTCAGATAAACAAATGTTCCTTCAATCGAAATAAAGACCATTTGGTAGATTTGTTAAATTTTTTAGAGATGAAATTCTTGTAAACACGCAATCACTCTTTATCTGTATCAAATAAATGGATTCATTTTGTAATCAATAAATAATGCATTTGATGTAAATGACCCATTTTCATAGACATAAATATGAATTTATCAACAACAAAAATTTTGTTGAAATGAATAGATCAATTTCAAACAAAGACTTCCAAAAAAAATTCTGAGAAAGAACTAGTCATCAATTTCTCTCATTCTCTATCGATTTAAACCACTCAATCAATTAATTCAATTTACCTAAATATGCTGTTGCCTCAGATTCACCTATAAGAAAAGCGCATTGTCCCTGGAACGCGCCCATACAGAAGTTGCTCAGGTCCTGATAATTCTCCTCCCAAATTGAAAAGACTGTGTTCTCCTCCTCGTTGCTTGATGAGGTCTTGACACTCTGTGGACCCCAGGGATCCTTCATCTCCATCACCGGTGTCTCCAATGAATCCGTGACAACTGCTTTCGCCATAGCCGTCGACACAGGCTGCACGTTCACGCCATGAGAAGCAAATGACAGATTCTCTTTTCGGTTGCATGGTGCTGTTACCTGGAATAGATTCGTTCCTTTGCTAAGTGGCAACTAAAAGAATAAATGTTATCAATTGATTCTAAAGCCCTTCATTCTGAAGCTTGTTTGTGGAAAATTTTTAGATTCACTCACTGTAAACTCGCCTCCTCGCTCAAATGAAATGTTGCTGGCCGTTGAACGCTCGTAAATGGGAGGGATTGTGTAGGCCTGAAACATGGGAAAATTTATGACGATGAGGTGAGGAAAAATTTGTAAATCAAGAGGGGAGTTGGATCAGCAAAACATCACGTGTGACAAAATTTGGTAGAAAAATCGTGTTTTTTTTTTAGAAATTCTATTGAATTTCGACGAGGGTATCTTGGGGTTGTTATTTGGAGACGAAAACTCTAATGAAATACAGCACGGAAGATATCGTTTGTCACTTGCAGTAAAAAACTTTTCTAGCTCGTATGATTGCAAATTTCCCCTTCGGCTCGGAAAGGAAATTTAATGGAGAAAATTTTATAGAAAACATCTCAATAGAATAGGTTGTATAGAAAAATATAATTCTATTGCCTTTTTCTATAATATATTTTCTATTAAACATTTTAATATAATCGGCCAAAAACTAATAGAAAATTCAATAGAAATCCAATACAATTGTCGAGCGAATTCGCTAGTTTTTCCATTAAATTTTTTCGCTCGTTTAATTCAACGTTTGTTATGTTACATGAGTCGTTCATCTTGCATGAAATAAAATAAACGCAATATATTATAATTTGTTATAGACAAGCTATTGCAAGAAAAATTTGTACTGATTAGTTTGACCCTGCAATTGCCCTCGCGCTTTTGGATTTTGATGAAAATAAAAATAACAAATAACAATTTATCAGTTTTTAAAGACGAAATTATTATTCTTTTAATCTATGAAAAATATGTCTTCAAACAAACAAATTCATCACCCGAATAGAATCCCAAAAACCGTGCTTAATCACCAATTTCTTCGAATTGTGGTGACGTCAGAGCCATTAGAGTCGCTCATATCATTCAAAAACACCTGAAAAAACCTGGTATATCAACACTGCCTATCTTTCCTCATATCGACTATTTTTCCTCCATCGCAATCCGCGAATCCACAAACATGACTCACTAACGACTTTTTAACAATAACACTCTCAGCAAAGGGATTCACAATATTTCCGGATCTATATCTCGACCTCGTTATCCTATTATGACTTATCTAACTCACCGATAAAAACTACAAACCGTCCCCCAACCGCACTGAAAAATTACGTAATGTTTGTCTATCCGTATCAGTCAGAGCAATCAGAATTTTTTTCCTTATTACAGAAATACCTCTCATGTCTCTAATCAACGAAGATAGCTAGTCCTAATTGTCATTATTGTATTATAAATTTCATAAATAACAGGTTCAACCGTAGGAAAGCAATACATAAATATTAACTGCCTTCATTGAACAAAAAAATCTCCCGAAAGATAATTCAAAATTCTAATGAATATTGACATTTAAGATAACATGCATTTGAGTCCTTAACAATGATGATTTCTTTTCTAAAAAAAAGTGTGGACAATATCTCGAATCGAAAATGGAGAAAGTGAGGTGTTTTTCATTAATACAATCGTCTTGCGTCGAATTGAATGCCATTCTATAAAACACGAATAAACAACTCATAATTGTCCAAATCACTTAGGTCAGAGGAAAGTAGGATAATTGTACTTTCTTAATATCGTGTTTACTAAGGTTTTCTTCGAACAAAGTTGATTAGAATTAATAGCTACAATTATGAGATTATCTCAAATTTTTAACGTTAAGGATAGGAGAATGTGAATGCAATATAGTGAAAATGATGATCGATTTTTTTACTTTGAACAAATAATATTAATATCCAAATACAAAATTTCTTATATGAATAAAAAGAAGCTGTGACTCAATATTCCAAATGAAGTTTTAATTTTTAATTTGGTGCTGAAAATACCAGATGACAATATTCTAAGCACGGAATTATATTGATGAGATGAACAACAGATTGATTGAATTACCGTGTGAACTGACTAAAAATTGATAACAGGGTGGGCACGCACATTTACCAGAGTATCAACAAACATTGAATTCCAGAAATTCACACTCTAAAGTGCGTTCTAGGAGGAATTGAATTGTAATTATGATTAAAAACATTCAGTGCGCATAGGAATTAGAACATGAGCAAATCATTTATTGTAATATGAAAATTCAACAGCTGATAAATAGGAACATATGATTCTCATCGGTCGTATTGCTTTTACAATGACAACGATAATAAACAATTAATTGAAAGAAGGAATATCGAATAAACAGGGCATATGTAAATTCTGTATTGTCCGAAACTCCAGGAATTAACAGTTGTCACAATAAATTAAATCGTGATCTTATAAGGAAAAATACTCAAGGTAGATGGTACACACGATGATTAAAATAGATGATCATTAGGAGTGGATAGTGCAAAATGGACAATTTCAACTTTTTTCCAATGTTCATAAATATTCACTAAGAAATAAATTTATCATCTGAGCTCAGTCTATGATCATCACGAAGCAAAAAGATAGTGTTTCTCGTCGAAAAAAAATCATTCCGTTTCATCAAAAATTCAATGAGTCATCAACATTCCAAAATACTTCACAAGTGTCCATTTTGCCCCACCCTCCCCCACAACTGATTCCGATTATCGACGTACGATTCCTATTCCATGCTAATTTATTGTTTTCATTGTTAATGCAACATTTTTTATTTTTAAAATTTTTCTTTTATTTCATGTGTAAAAGACGATAAAAAACTCGACTCATTACCGAACCGAGATAAATGGAATGATCTATATACCCCAGCACTCTGAATGCAGTCGCAGAGTGAAACGGCGAGTTTTCCCTAGGAATTGTCGATTGATTAAAAAAAATACCCCTCGCAACTAGATAGGCATCGCCGATGGTATGCGATAACAAACGGAAAATTTCCATCACAAAAAATCCACAAAAAACTGACGAGAGTGTTTCATCACCCGAGACCCTAGCTAAGCGATTCGAAACGTTTCGAAGTCTCCGAAATTTCTAAATTCCGCACTTCTCGTCAATTCGAACATCTAAAAATACCGGATTATAAATTAGAAACTGACTGGAAAATCCCATGGTGTTACGTAAACCCCTCAAGTACATATGTAACAAAGATCGTACTTACCCTCCCTAAATCGATAGCTTGATGTACTCCTTCCACTTGGGACGGTTTTTCTGCTCGCAAAATTACCTCGAGGACCGAGATTCAGTGGTCCTGCCTCGAAATGCACTCGGGCTTTTTTCAGTTCTCTTAATGTTTTCTTATTATGCTGAGGGCTAGACGAGTGCCAGTGGAACACTTTGAGCGCACGATTGTTGGTCGACTGCCGTGAACGAAATGCGACGTCGAGACCAGCGAAATACGTCACGAGACTGAATTCTTGTCGTGGGCGACGTGAGGTGTGCAAGCACGTCACGTCTCGCCAATCGGTGGATGGGTAGCGTCATGGCTAGCCAATTGTTGCAGAGAGACGGAGGAAAGTGGGATGAGCTGGGCATACGTCATTCGAGATAGTCCGGACAACAACCCGCGGTTACTTCGATTTCTCGGAACGTCGATAAACTCGCAGGAACCCCCACTACTTGCTCGCCGGGCTTTATTGGTGGTGGAGCCTGGTCTTGAATTTTCAGTGCCACGGGCCGAGTTTTGAGAATGTGAACGGCGGGGAAGGGGGCGAGAGAAGAGGGGAATTCGGCGTAACGGTTTTTTTTGGGGGAAAGCTGGAGAATGACATCATGCACAAAAATGTTGGGCTATGGAGATTTGGAGATTCAATCGATCAAAGTTCACTTTGAGGATTGCGGGTCGACTTTAACACAGAAAAGGCTAAATGTAAATGATTGGAGCATTGGAGACGGATCTTTCAGCATGAGCGTGACATGTCATTTGTGAAAATTTTCTTAAATTATTCTTGTTATTCCGGCCGTGAGGCGGTGCTTCGCCCCGCACGGAAAACAAATATATGAGACATATATCAATTACATACGCATGTATGTGCGGCAAAAATGCAATATGTGAGATATATGTATGCGTCACATATGTGTTCACGTATATACTCAACGTATATTTTATATACAGCATTTTTTTGCCAAAAATATATTTAAAATATCGAATATATTTAAAATATACCCCATAAATAATTGTTCGCATATATATTTTTTCCGTGAGGGATGGACGCTAGGCTCGCCTTCGGCTCGGGCTGCAAACTCATATTCGCCAGAAATGTTGTTTTCGGCCTAATGAGGAAATACAGGGTGTCCCATTTGAAACAGTGCGGCTTGATATCATTCAAGCTCATATCAAAATTGTGTAAATAAAAATTGTAGGGTTCGGAGGGGGAAACAGTGCTGATGGAATCTAGGCCACGTTGTTTGTTTTTATGCTACCAGCATGAAGTCAGTTTTCTTAAATGGCAACATTTTTCACCTCTACAAAAGGTATTTGTCTTGCCGAGACAAGCTCAACCATACCATATTTTCGGATGACGTCATCGTTTTCACATGAATAACCGTACAAAAATCAAATGAAAGGGAAACATCTTTATTTCGACTATCTTACAGGTTTTATTCCACATACTGCACAGCCGTACTGTTTCAAATGGAATACCCTGTATACTAGTACGAATGTTCTTGACCTTTACACCAAACCCCTCCGAAATCGCAGGTTTACCGTACCCCGCGGTCTGTGAGACCACTACTCCGTCTGGATCGCATTTGCCGTTCGATTGAGCGAATGAATCAATACTTTCTGTTACTGAAGGTTCAAATGAGGGCTAAAACGGGGCAAGGTCAAACAAGAAAAGGTTAAACGATGGAAGGATCAAAAGGGGAAGGGTTGAACAGAAGAGGCAAAATCTATGAGTGTATTTAATTTCATTTTTTTTTCACACAAATATTTGTTATCACCATTTTTTTCATATAAATATGTCGACATAATAAAATCTCGCCTTTTAATCGTCGACTATCGAGCAAAAAAAATGGCATTCATTATGAATAATTGGTGCTAATTATTACTTTTTATCAATCAACAAAGAATGGATCCACCACGAAAACCCAAAAAAATAATTTCGTGAAATGAGGGGCAATACTGAGGAATCTTTCATCACTCCTCTCTACAAATTGACGATTATTCTCGCATTCCACGCCTTGACTCAGCAAAAATAGAAATGGCAATAATGTTGCGGTGATGCATGTGTGCTACGATAACTCGTCAGACGATTAGATAACAGCAACAAGTCAAATGATTGGGAGCGACAAATAATTCCGCACAGTATCCCATCCTCTCAAGTGCATCCACTCAAAAGTAAAATTTAATTGTGCAGCGTCAAGAATGAGGAATTACTTCCTCGTGAATGTGCCAATGGACTTCGGATTCACGGAGTGTCTCCTCGCGGTTGTAGTGCTCCTGCTCCTCTGGTACCAATACCTGATATGGAATTACAATTTCTGGAGATCGAGGGGGATTCCCGGACCCCAGCCTGTCGCCCTCTTCGGCACCATCAAGGATATTTTACTGGGTAAGGATGGCCTCGGCAGTTACTCAACAAGAATCTACAAGGAATACCAGAACGAACCCCTGGTCGGCATCTACTCTCGTCGCGAACCCGTTCTAATCGTCCGTGACCCCGACCTGATCAAGGCCATCCTGATAAAGGACTTCTCCAACTTCATGAACAGGAGTTTAGAGATTTCAGATAAGCACGATCCCCTCATGCAAAACCTATTCTTCCTCGACGCTAAAATATGGCGGCCCTTGCGGACGAAGCTCACGCCCGTCTTCACCTCAGGTAAAATCAGAGAAATGTTCTATCTTCTGAAAGAATGTGGACAACAACTGGACAATTATCTGTCGAAGGTCGATGGGACAGTCGTGGAAATGCGGGGGATCACTTCCAAGTTCACTACTGAGGTCATTGGAATGTGCGCTTTCGGACTGGAGGCGAATTCTTTTGGAGATGAGGAGAGTGCCTTCCTGAAGATGGGGAAGAGGATCTTTCAGGTCAGTGATGGGAATGCAATAAATTAAGTCATTTAGGATTTTTTTCGCAAATCGGCAAGGACTAACTTTCGAGTAGTGTTGTCTTCGAATATACCTTAGGAAATCGTAAATTACGATGTTAATTGAAACGTGTTTTACGATTTCCTTATGCGTAATTTACGAAATCAAACATTGTATTTTACGCTTGAATTAACTTTTTTTTCTTCGTCGGTAATTACGGATGAGTAATCGTAAAATACAGAAAAAATCATCGTTATTTATGAATACGAAACAGTAAATTGCGGTTATGTAATCGTAATTTACGACGATTTTGAGTGTAATTTACGTTTCAACTTCAAGGGTAAAAGACGACTGCTAAACGTAATAGTGCTGCGCTTTACGCACTCGAAATTCACTTTACGCACGTTCTTGAACTTTACGCACTCGTGTACGAAAACAACCACATTATTCCGACCGTTCCGACAAATGAACTCGGCAGGTACCACAAAAAATAGGATGTGTTACACGTGCGTGTGGAACTTTACGCAGTAGTAGCCCAATATACTATTTCGGCCTCATGATGAAAATAGCCATTCTTTCGTTCCGCCCGGGGCAAAGTACGCATTTCTGAGTTTGCGCGTACGCCGGGGCGAAAAATGCAGTTCTAACCACAAGAGCTAAAATAAAGGACCCTTCCCCACGTGCTTGCCACGTGGTCATTCAGCATGTGCGCACGATTCCTTTATTTTACTCTCTAGGTTATTAATATACTAATTCATCATTGATAATTTTTCCCATGAATTCTAACTTTGATGAGTGTTAGAAATTGATCCATCAAATTGTTTCTTTACTCTACTCAGCAATTTAACTACTAATGTACTCAGAAGTGCTTACCACTCTTCCAGGTGGACCTCAAGTACTTCTTCAAGTTCATTTTGAGGCAGTTTGCGCCGTTTTTGTACTCAATTTTCGGCGGATGGTTGAAGGACTCCGTTTTGGAAGAGTTCTTTATCAACCTCGCGAGGGATACGATTGAGTATCGCGAGAAGAACAACATAATGAGACATGATTTCATTGACTTGTTGAGGAACTTGAGGAAGGAGCCCAGTCAGATCGGGGATATTGAGTTAACCGATGAGCTGGTGGCCGCTCAGCTCACGGTTTTCTTCGTCGGGGGGTCGGAAACATCAGCTACGACGATCAGCAATTGTCTCTACGAGATGGCGATGAACCCGGAGATGCAGGAGAAGCTGAGGGGCGAGATCCGAGAGGAGTTGGAGAGGAGCAATGGGCAGATCACTTATGAGGGGCTCAATGAGATGAAGTACTTGGATAAGTGTCTCAGTGAAACTCTGCGGAAGTATCCGCCCGTTACTATTATGACGAGGAAGACGATGGGGGAGTACATGTTCCCGGGGACGGGGGTGAAGGTTCCAGCGGGGGTCAAGGTGTGGATTCCAGTCTTTGCGATTCACAGGGACGAGAAGTACTATCCGGAGCCGAAGGTGTTTGATCCTGAGAGGTTTGCCGAGGAGGAGGTGAGAGGGCGGGATGGGATGACGTTTCTGCCGTTTGGGGAAGGGCCGAGGAATTGCATTGGTGAGCAGGGGTAGCCATATTCATAAATCATAATTTGTTTGTTATAAATAAATTTAGCCTGCAAAATAAAATTTTATAAAAGAATGCAATTGTCCACTTGATTTCCCAGGAGCTCGATTTGGCAAAATCCAATCGAAATACGGTATCGTCAAGATTCTCCAGAACTACACTGTTGAAGTTTGTGATAAGACGGATAAAGAATACCGAGTCAACTCCAGGGCCATGTTCCTCACTCCACTCAACGGAATATACTTGAAAATCAACAGATCTGTAATTATGTGATGAACTCATTTCAATAAGACAAGTATCCACTCTGTCTGGGAGCATTTGCCAAGTGCTAAGGGGCACATTGGGGTATGGAAAGCTAATCAGCGCTGAGTGTGGTTACTTCATGTGACGCATTGTCACAAGAACTCGTTTACCACGTAGTACTGTGTTAAATTAGACAACTGAATTATTTTTTTACAAATATTAAAATTAACATTTATTTCAGTATCTTGTTTCTGGTTTTACTCATCCCTAGATGAATAACATTACCTAGTATTAATTAAGTATATTACAAAACAGATACATATGTATAGTAACAATTATATATAAAAATTTCTTAGGATAATTTTCAAGAATTATTACATACAGCACTCTTGTCGTTTACGCACCGTCTCGGATTGTGAATTGAATTTCATCTAATAACGTGTTCGGCGCTTTTAATGAGATGTATAAATTGGAGGAGAATAAGGGAAAATTGATACTTGTCAAAATTCATATCTTGCTGGAAGGCACTTCGATATGATCTAAACATTTTCGAATCATTTGCCACAAAAAATTGATTCACAATGTCATGAGAATATTTTCATAATGAATTTTCTCGAGCTCATTATATGATTAACTGAGATGTCGTGTTCAATTAATTCGAACGCACGGAAAAATTTCATAGAAAAACCTAATGAATTCGATGGAAAATTCTTTTGGATTTCTTGTGATCTCCTATTGAAAAATCTATTAGTTTTTCCAAATACTATTAAAGGTATAAGAAAAATCAGAAGAATTCAATTTTTATATAAAAGTTTTTCTATTGAAACATTTTCTACAGGAATTCTTCGACATAAATTTTCCGAGTTTTTTCCACTCAATTTTCTTTTTTTTTATTAGAATAAATCAAATAAAATAATTAGACAATTTGAGTCGAGGAATTTCCCTAGAAAATATCTCAACAGAATAAGTTGTATGAAAACATCGTATGCTACTGATTTTTTCCAGAAAACAAATAATTTCGGACAGATGAATTATTTTTTCCCATGTTAAATGAAATTGCCCATGACGCGACGTTCCCGAAAACTCGCTAAACGCGTGCGGGCAGTGCAGAGTGAATTTGGCAACGGTAAAGTCTACATAACAGTGCGGGGAATCCCCGCGGAGGTGATCAAGTCGCAAGAGGTCGCGTTTGGTGACCAGATTAAGGTTAAAGTACATTTTGAAATATATTTTGCCGTACTCTCCTCCGAAAACTACAATAATTGTTATTTAAATAGAAAAATTACAGACACGCAAGAAATAAAATATTCATATACATACGCAATATCATTCAGACACACTGTCAATAGTTTTTCACTGGATAAAAAAAACCACAGAGAAACTTTTTATTCTCAATAAAATGCAGTGTCGACTAGTGCCGAAGTAACAATCGGCTCGTATCACCGATCGTTGCTCCAGGACTTCAGAGTCGTTCTCCACTATCCAATTTTTATAATATAAAACAGAGGATTGTTGAGAGAAGTGAGTACCCTCCCGTATATCCTGTTGGTATTCATTCGATTCACGTTCCCTCTCTTGTCCCCAGGAACGTCGACATCTTTCGGGGTCACTGGCCCTCGCTGTCACTGTCGCTCTTGTCTATCAACAAATTTACAAATTTTGTTCTTTTAATTTTTCGTTAATTTTGTTATTTAGGGATTTTCGGGATCTAGGGTATTTTAATACCTTTCTTTCCGGGGTAAGCGTGACGCTTCAGTCTGTCGTAGAGGTCGTCCTTGGTACCGTAAATGCTGGCGTTTGAGCGGGCCAGACTGTTCATCTTGCCTCCATTATGTAGACTCTCTGGAAAATCCAATGAGAGAATTCAAATAATGAGATTATGGGAATTCTTGGATGAAGTTGTATTGAAAATTTGGAAGTGACATGCGATGAGATCATCAAGTGGGTCAAATAATTTAATAATATTTTTGAAAAATTCCAATAGAATATGTTGCGTAGAAAAATATTTTTAAACTAACAAAATATTTTTAAACATTTTTAAAATTATGGAAAAACACAATCTACCGACATTGAATAAATTTCTTATTGTATCAACTATTCGTCACAAAATCGCGTGAATAGGCTGCTCATGAAAACATCGCCCCTAATGTCAATAAAATTCTCAAACTATCCATCATCGAAATGCTGAAAAATCTGACCTTTCATATAAGTCTCATTATAGAAATTCGGCATTTCCCAGCCATCCTCCTCATCATCATAATAATGAGCATAAGTGCTGTGATGCGAGGGAGCAATGGATTCAGCATAAGGTGTTGGTGCCCCATAATAGAAATTGACTTGCGAGCCATTCTGATCAGTGGCAGGAGACAGCATCTTCTTGGGTTCCCTCTTCTTCGACGATCTCACACAAATCATCCACACCAACAGGACAATAAAGATGATGAGAATGACCCCAGCAGCAATGCCCCCAGTGATATAGAAGAACTCCGACTTCTCAGTGCAGTGTTTACCAGTGAAGCTTCCACTGCACCTGCAGGACGGTTGTCCCCTGGAGTCCTTCAGGCAGACACCCTCATTGTCACAGTAGTTGTTGCAGACATCAGTGCACACCATTCCAGTGCCATTGTACCCAGGTTTGCATTCGCACTTGAAGTCACTGGTTTCAGGGATGAGAAGACAGTAGGCATTGGCATCGCAGTGCAAGTCCTCTCCATTCATTTCGCATGGATTTGTGCACTCAGCTTTGCTGGTGGCAGCTGGCCCCTTGGTGCTTGTATTGGGAGGACAGGGGATGCAGAATGTCTGCTGGGGCTCAGACTGATACGTTCCCTTTTTGCAGGAGACACATTCGTTCAACGTACCATTAAGGAAGCTTCCTGGCTCGCAGACGGGTAGAGAGCACTCCTCAATAGCTGCTGATCCCATATTTGGGGTTGTTCTGCCAAGCGGGCAGGTCTGGCAGGCTGCTTGCACCCCCTGGGTCCTGTAGGTACCCCTTGGACAGGGCTCGCACTTTCCTTCAACAGCCAGTTGCTGGCCAGATCCACACTCGTCACGACACTCCTCGTGGGAAACTGCCTCAGCTGTTCTCGTTGTCTTGCCGAGACCACAGAGGAGGCAGGAGAAACTGCCCTCACTTGGCTGGTAGAATCCGTGACCACAGCTGCGACAGAGACCTGCTGCGTCGTCGTAGTATTTACCAGCTGGACAGCGCTCCTTGCAGTCCGCAGCACTTCGAGCACCTGGACCGATGGTCACGCTGGAGCGACCTGCTATCACTGGACAACTGCTGCATTTCAACTGGCCGGATTCACTCTGGTATGTGCCGATCGGACACATCTCGCATTTTCGGAGGGCCTCGTTGTAGAAACTGCCGACTGCGCAGGGCACTGGGGGAGGAGAGAGTTGGCGTTAATCTTTTGTGGTGAGTTTTTGGGATTTTGCACGAAAACGAGTAGCAATTGAAGGCGTTTATTTAACATAATATGACAATTTAACAATATATATAATTATATACAAGCTTAACAAGATTCAGTCGCAGACTCAGGCTTTGGGTTCCTACCAACGATTTTTTTTACATTTCCGCATTTGCACTCCTACCATATATGATTCATTCTATTCATATATGATTATAACTATCAATTTCGGAATATATGGGCAAATTTTTCTCACCACAATCAGGAGCCATAACAACTTGTCCAACCGGACAGGCATAATCCGACTCCAAAATCAGAGAAGCTGGATCAGGAACTGTATTCGGTAGAATATCATGGACATCAAACTGATCCTCCTCCAGAATGAGTTTCTCCAGAAGGCTCTGGACAGTAGCACGATCGTTGGAATTGGTGTTCTGAATGGGATCGCTGTGAAGGGAACAAACATCATTAGAATCATCCACGATAAAGTAAATGTTCAACATGAAGGTGTTGTTGGTGATGGTGCAGGCGAATTTATTTACAGCCTCGTCGGTTATGCTCGACGTCATTGTTAAAAGCCAGCTTTATGCTTCTCATGATCCTGTGATTAATCTAAACTAGTTGATGTTTCCTAACGCATGTGAGATAATTTCTGCTTCAAGTAATGTTAATTAATGATGAGACGAAAAACATGAAATTCCCAGGATGTTGGCCCTGCTGGTTTGGGAAGTTAATTGGGGAGAATCGTGCACAGTCATTGTGGATTCATCTTGGAGGAAATGTTAATTACATGATTTCATCATTTTTTAATTGACGAGGGGTTCTGGGGAAGTCTTACTTTATCGCTGGGAATGATATCTCCACCTCGTAGGTGTCACTTCCTTGGCGAGCTTGTCTCGTTCTAATTCGTATAAAAAAATCAAGATATTTGAATTTTATGGCTGAGGTGAGAGAAGAACTCTGCAGTGAATCACAAGTGGAAGAATTTCATTGAAAAACTTGGGGATTTTGTTAGAAAATTCAATTGTATTTGTATTGAAAATTCTGCAGCTTTGAAGCACATTTTTTTCAGCAGAAGAACAATTTTAACCATTTGGTGGAGACCGCAATGAGAGAAAAACCAACAAGTTCTCAAACAAGTCTTGTTTGGCCCAAGAAAATTATTAGTTGAAAATTACCAAAAAATAATTATTTGGTTCGAATTTGAAAGAAAAAATAAATCAAACAAAAACCTCAGCAAGTTTAGTTAGATAGTTGCATAGAAAATCAGATTCTATTGATTTCTTATATGAAGTATTTTGTATTAAATATTTCTATCGGTGAAAGACTAATGGAGTGTTCAACGGCAGTCCGATACAAATTCAATAAAATTTCCCAGTGAATGCGCCACGTTTTTCAATGAAATTCTTAGGTTCGTAAATCTTCATTCTGAATAAACAGTTAGAACAGATTGAGGATGCTTACGGTTCTGATGGAACAGCAGCTGATATCACATAGGTTCCACCGTCCTCAGTATTGGTCTCTCGTACTGTTCTTGATCTGTGGTCACACTGGACGTCGATGACGAGGTCTTTACACTCTCTGGTGCCTGCAAAAAATGAAATAAAAGGGTTAAATGGAAAAATGATTGATTCAACTAAAATTCTTATTTCAAGATTTTATATGAGAAACTAATCTAGACAGGGATAAATGAATACATACATAAATAAACAAATAAACAAATAAATGAATAAATAATTGAAAGAAAGAATAAAAAATCAACAACTCACCTTCAAACGAATAAGAACAGAAGTTCCAGTCCCGATTCAACGAGTTGACCGCATTCCTGACCTTCTGTTTGAGCACCCCCTGGCCAGCCTCATTACACAAGACACTCGTTGGGAAGTTCATTCTGATCTTGAAGACCCTCTGCGCCGCGGAAGCCGCCGTGCAAGCAGGATACACAATCGGTAAACTGGGATCCATCGTAGGCCTCCAGAACCCTTCAGCCCCACACGTATAGAACTTGGGTACCTCTTGCGAGAACCTCATCCCCGAATTACAGGAAATCTCACAGACCTTGAACTGTCCCCCAGATCCCCAGTCCTTACACAATTGGGACCCGCCAACGGGATCAGCCAGCTCCGGACAGAAGTCTGAGAGCACATAAACCTTGAAGTTACAACTAGCCGAGTTTCCTGCCTGATCATAAGCAACATAGCTGATGTCATAAGTTCCCCAGAGAAGTGTCTGTCCAGATCTGTGACCACTCTTCTCCTGGATCCTCACGACCCCCACGTTATCAGAGAAATGAGGCTCGTCCCAGGTGACAATGGACGATCCATTCTTGGCAATGACCCAAAGATCCCCAGGACAATGCTCAACCTTGGGTGGAATTTTATCTGCCTCAAGCTGCTGGCACTTGTTGCCCCCATACCCAGGTGGGCAGATCCTCTGTCCGCAGTGAGAAGGCACGACCCTTTCAACCCCCCCACCAATTTCGTCGTACCCAGCCCAAGTCAACACCAATCCCTGATACAAAACAGGCTCGGTCCTGCAGTCCCTCACCTGCTTCTGTATCTCATTGGTGACATGCAGCGCCCTGGACCAGACCTGAACCTTCGTCAAGTGCCCTTGGAAGCCAGATTCAGTGTACCCTTTGGGGGATTCACTCCTAGGTTTCCCAAGAACAGCCCAACCGTAGGACGGAAGAGTTCGTCCACTGCCGTAGCCCTCAGTCTTGCTGGCAATCAGCCCTTCAGTGATCAACGTCAACTCTCCGCTGTTCTCGCCATTCCAAACGATGGCCACGTGATGCCACTGTCCGTCGTTGATGGTAGCGTACTCTCGGAAAGGTAGATAAACATCCTGAAGATCGTGGAAGAGAGACACCTGGACTCCATTGCTGTGGGCTTGGATCATCGGTCTACGATTGGTGGGAACGTGAGGGGAGCTGACGCTGTACAGCGTGAAGAATATCCCTGCTTCGTCCTTCTGGGTGAATTGCACCCACATGGCGATGGTGAGGCTCTTCTGGGCTCCCGTGAAGAAGGGAATGATCTGGGCAGCACTGCTGCGTGATGGATCTGTAAAGTACAGATCGTAATCTACTTGAATGGACTTCCTACAGTCGTCTCCGGTGAGATTGAACGGACACTGGCAGAAGAACTTTCCAGTCAAATCGATGCAGGTGGCAGAGGGAGGACAGGAGTTCTCCTTGCAATCGACAATGTCCTCCTCACAGGTCTTGCCGGTGTAGCCAGGTGGGCAAGTACATGTGAATCCAGCTCCGTTATCCATGCAAGTGGCGCCATTCTTGCAGGCACCAGCCTGACATGCGTCGTACTCATACTGGCAGCCGATTCCAGTGTAATCGTCAGGACAAGTGCAGTTCAGACCGGATCCAAAGTCCTGACAGCGTCCGTTGTGCATGCAAGGGTTACCAATGCACCTCTCAGGAGCAGTCTCACACTGTTTGCCATCAGTACCTGATGGACAAACGCAGAAGAAATCTTGGAAGAGGTCGACACATGCAGCGTCGTTCTGGCAAGGATGGTTCATGCACATTCCTACGTCGGTCTCACATCTGGTACCGGTCCAGCCATCTCTGCAGAGACACTTGAACCCACCCACTTCGTCTCTGCACGTTGCTCCGTTGAAACAAGGGTCGGAAGCGCAGTCATCGGTGTTGATCTCACAAGTTGTTCCTGTGTAGCCTTCTCGGCAGTGGCACAGGAAGCTGTTGTGGAGATCTACGCAGCGATCGGTTCCCACAGGGTTGCAGGGATCACTGAGACACTCGTCGAGCTCAGCTTCACACTGAAGTCCGACGAATCCTGGTCGACATTTACAGACGAATCCCTCGAGTTGGTCGATGCAAGTGGCTCCATTCTGGCAAGGCTCAGCCCCGCAATCATCGATCGTGTGCTGACACTGTTGGCCAGTATATCCGGGTTCACAAGTGCAGGTGTACCCTCCTATCTGATCCAGACACTGTCCGTTATTCCTGCAAGGTTTGGAAGCGCATTCGTTGATGTTGGTCTCGCACGCTGGTCCTGTCCATCCCGGGTGGCAGATGCACTCGTGATCGAAGAGATTATCAACACAGATGCCGTTCAAGCAGGGATTCCCCGAGCAAAGATCGATCTTCTCGTGGCAGCGTTTGCCAGTGAAGCCTGGAGGACAATCACAGCTGAAATCAGCGACAAGATCCGTGCAGTTGGCTCCGAGAAGACAGGGCCTCTCTGCGCAGTCATCAGTGTTGATTTCGCAGCTCTGTCCCTCCCATCCGGGCAGGCAATCGCACTTGAATCGACCTTGCTGGAGAGCAATGCAGCTGGCCCCGTTCTGGCAGGGATTCCCCGTGGCAGTGCAGGGATTAATGGTGATGTCACAGTCGACTCCGGTGTAACCAGACCTGCAGAGACACGTGTAGTTACCGAACCCAGGCTCGTCTTTGCACATGGCTCGCTCAGGACAGGTGTCTTTACTACAGTCCGACTTCTCCTCCTGACAGTTGATTCCAGAGTATCCATTGGCGCATTGACACCTGTAGCCCTGAGGTAGATCGATACAAGTGGCACCATTGAAGCAAGGCTGTGAAGCGCATTCATCAATATCCACTTCACAACGACGACCAGAGAAGCCAGCGGGGCAGAAGCACTGGACTCCGTGGCCCATGGCGATGCAGAGACCACCGTGTTGGCAGACATTGTCCGTGCAAGCCACTACCTTACACGCTTCTCGACCCACTGCTCCAGCCGCATCCGTGTACATGTTTGTTGGGCACTCCATGCAGGTCGTTGCGCCGTGTTGAGCTTGGTAGAAGTTTTTGGGGCACTGGGCACACGGGGCTAACCCAGTGTCTGAGTAAGTACCAGGTGCACATTTAGCCCTGCAACGATCCCGTCCTGGTGCTGCCGGTTGATAAGTGAAGGTCCCTGCAGGACAGGTCTGGCAGTCTTTGTAGCCTCCCGTCGGGGGTTCCCCGGTGTAAGAATTTCTGGGACACTCAAGACAAGGGACTAGACCTGTTGGTGAGTAGGTTCCATACCCACAGACTGGAATGCAGTCATCGATGCTCTTGGATCCTTGCTCCTTGGTGTAAGTTCCGAATGGACAGCGGAGGCAGGCGCCCTGACGATCGCTGTTCTGGTAGAATCCTTTTGGACACGCTGTGCACTGCTTCTGCTTCTCCCCAGCGAATGTCCCTGCTGGACAGTGCAGACACCTTGGAACATCGTTTGTATCCATATTGAGGACTTCCCCGATGCTGCAGGTGAATCCTCTACTGATAGATGACCTCAGGGCACGTAGGGGCGGACATTGATTACCGATGGACGAGACATTCAACAGGGGCTCGATAACAGCGCTTGCGTGAGGTACGGACAGATCGAAGATGAGGCTCAAGGTGGAACCGCAGAGGTCGTACAGCTGGGTGGAACGAACTGCCGGAACGATAACGAGGATGAAGTCCATCTTGAGGACATTCTCCTCGACCAGAGTTGGTATCGACCGGATGAAGGAGACGTTCATATTGACGTTGACAGCGGAACATCTCTGAGTGAGAATGTTGTTGAGTCCCATGTAGTACTGGCCCATCAGGTCTTGGTACTGTGGTAGACAGCCCCTGGACACCGCCCCATTGGCCCTGTAAGTGACCGAGGCAATGACATTGTAGTCAGCCTGCTGAGTGTTCTCAGAAACGCAATCAGGGACCACTGACATGGGAGACCAGCGTCTCACTGGATCACAGGTGAATGACTTTGTTGGTGCGCCGTCGGTGAATCTGTAGCCAGATCGACAGGTGGCGATACACTGGAGGGATTTGGCCTTGTCTCCTGGTACACACTTCAGTCCACCATTCGCGGGGGGTTTGAGCTCCCAATCTACGCAAGGAGTCGCTTGGACGGACACCTGGAAGTGGCAGGAGGCTCGGTTTCCACTGGAGTCCGTAGCATACACTGTTACATTTTCAAATCCTCCAATGGGGATGACCGCACGTTCCGGAACGTACGTGATCTTCACTGGACCTGAGGCGTCTGTTGTGTTGATGTCCCTTCTTGTTTGGTTGAAGTTAACCGTATAGCTTTCCTGGCGATCTACCAATTCAATAACATAGCTCTGGGGGCAGCTAAGCTTTGGAGGTGTTACATCAGGAACTGTGATGTTGATCTCACAGATCGCGACGTTTCCATCGTAATCGAAGGCTACATATTTTACGACGGTATCCTCGAAGATTCTTATCGGAGTTTTGAAACTCTGGGGCTTGACTTCCAGACGTGCTATGCTTCCGCTGTTGTCCACAGCCGTTGGTTCTGTGAAGTTGACTGGTAGGAGTCCACCGTCTGGTCCCTTCTGCACCATTATTGGCTGTTGGGGACAATTCTGGAAGAGCGGGGGCTCATTATCGACGCAGGGTGAGTAGCCGTAGTCGTAACCCAGCAGTGGTTCCACAGCGGGTTCCTCACATCCCATCAATTCGAACTTCAGACAAGCGTTGTCCATGTAGCTGACGATTCCAATGATCACAAATCTTGCTTGAACGGATTTTGGCAGAGTGATCATGGCCAGTTCTCCGTAGTTGCCTGGGTCTCTCATAGTCAGGTTGAAATTAGGGAAGTAAACGATGTAGTTTTCGTTCTCGGACTGCTTGTAAAAGAATCTGATCTCCGTAGGACGACCCACAATATCATTCGTTACGACTCCCTTCACGAGGATTCCCTTGATCCTGAAGACCTGACCCAAATCGACACTCACGTAGGTGAATGCTTCTTGCTTACCACACCACCCAGTGACAGAGTTCAGCCTGACATTCTTGGCTTCGTAGTTGGGTCGTTCCGACGTTGCATTGATAGCGGAGTCCGGAATTTTGCCCGACGTGAGACCAAGGGGTTTAACCACCTTGCACTCGGGCTCCCTGCGACAGACGATGGGCTTCGGATTAATGAGGATGTAGCCAGGTCGGCTGCAGCCAAACTGCACCTCCGATCCTTGCTCATAAGATCTTGCTATCTGGAAGCCATCGCTGGGTCTTCCAGGATCCTCACAGACTGGTCCTTCACACCTCAAGTTTCCAAAGTCCCAGACACCGTTAGCCTGACAGCGGACGACGTTGTCGTGATTATTTGTCTGTCCAGCGAGTTTGAATGTGTCCTGACAACCAAAGAAAAACTGTGAGTGGTACTTGGTATCGGCGTATTGTCCGTACTCAGCTCCAGGGGTCGGCAGGGGCAGTCCGCAATCAGCTCTGGGGCAAGCGGGCTGAAATCCCGATAGCCAGTAGTCAGGTAGACCTGGCTTGGGATCGTAGACACACTGTCTGAAGCCCGAGGTGGCTGTATTCCTCAAGAACCTTCCAGTGTTGCCACATTTCAAGGTGACGTTCTGTCCAAAAGGCACTAGAACACTTGTCTCATCGGTTCTGACGACAGCCAGACCTTCGTTCTTATCGTCAGGAAGGGAAACGCACTTGGCAAATTGACATTCAGGTGTGGTTCCATTCCACACTCCACTGGAAGTGCAGATCACAGCCGAGGATCCTGCAAGGACGTAACCAAAGTTGCACTGGAACTTTATGAGATCTCCAAAGTGGAACTGATCCTTCGTGGAGAGGATCTTCCCGTTCTCCGGAGCTGGTAGTGTTGGACACATCACTGGAACACATGTCTTGTTCCTCTGATAAAGATCCCCATCTCGTTCTCCAGTTTCTGATCTTGCAATGCTGAATCCAGCAGTGCCATTTCCCTTGTAGAGTTCATACCCAGTGTTGCACATGCAGGCGTAGCTGCCAGGACTGTTGATGCATTTCTGGTGGCAGCCACCATTGTTGCTCGCACACTCGTTGACGTCAGTGCACTCTAGTCTAGTGCAACCGACGATTTCGAGTTTGGTGCAGGGTGCACTGACGTAATCCTGAATCCTGAATTTTATGTATCTCGCTTCGATCGGAACTGGAAGATTGAGGATAGAGAGAGCGGGCTCGACAGCTCTGAACTCCACAGGAGTTCCATCAGGATTCGTGTAATCCCGGAATACATCTCCCAGATCGTCAGTGTACTGTAGTCTTATTGCGGAGGCGAACGCAATGTTACCGTCGGTCCTGGCAACCACTTGGGTTCTGAATCCTCGAACTATCGTGGGAGCTTTCATGTCAATCATCACCCAGTTGGCTCCCGGTTCGATACTGTTCCCACACCAGCCGTCTCCACTGCTCAACCTCACTCCATTCTTCTTGTACCCAATTTCCGAACTAGAAACAGTGATGGACTCGTCTGGGATTCCCCCATTTATAAGCCCAATATCCCCGACCGGTCGGCAATCCAGTGTCGGCGCAAAGCCAGATTTACACTTGCAGGAGAAAGCTCCAGGCATGTTTATGCACTCAGTGGATGCGAGGTCACACTGACTCGAGGAGCACTCGTTGATATCCTCACAGGAAGGTACGTTCTCGAATCGTTGATCAGCACCACAGGAGATGATATTGTTACCCGTGAGTTTGTATCCCCGATTGCACTGCACTCTTGCCTCATCTCCGAAGAAGTAGTCCCTATTGTTATCAACGACGAAGCCATTCTTGATGATCGGTAGAACGGGACACCGAGCCCTGGAGCAAGTGGGGACGTTATCAGACCAGGTGCCATTGCTCATACAGAGGATGACTGGATGTCCAGTCCTGACGTATCCTGGCTCGCACTCGAACCTGACGATCGTTCCGTAGCTTCTGCCACCGCCATTCAAGATCGTGATGTTGGCATTTGGCGCCTCGGGGAGGGGCGCACACTGGGAAGCTAGGCACGAAGGTTTCTTCTCCCAGCGACCGTCAGCCATGCACGAGATCTTCTCCGTTGGCCTGCCCGATGGGAAAGCGAAACCCGCGTAGCATTGATAAGTGGCTAATCCTCGGTACGTGACGTTGGACGAACCGATGGAGAATCCATTATCGATTTGGGGGACTGGTCCACAGTAAACTTCCTGGCATTTCGGGATATACGTGACTGACCAATTTCCTCCTTGGAGGCATTCACTGGTGATCTTCAGCTTTCCTGTGGCAAACTCCTGGCCCATGGGGCACGAGAAGGTTACCACCGTACCGAATGCTGTGTCCCTATTGCTGGCGAGGGCGCCTTCTCCAGGAAGGAGGACAGGGCAGTCTGCGGAGAAGGTCGCCTGCCATCCGGAGGAGCTTCTCAGGGCGTCTGAGACGAATCTCACCAGCATCTCTCCACTCTCAGCTGTCAGGGTGATCTTTGGAATCGTGTTCGAGGTGAAGCCATCTCCAGAGTGCAGTCTGAGCCCATTGGTATTGCTACCATCGTAGACTTGGACGTAGTCGGTGGTGTGGACGTTAAAATTTGTGAACTTTAGGGAGAGGGCAGAATTCTTAGGGTTCCTTATGGTGTAGAGACACTCCTGGTTGTTCGGGTAGTCATTTAGACCGTACGAGGGGGACTGAACGGTGCCGTTCAGGGCGATTATTGTGGCTCTGCAACCTTGGGTGTACCTGATGCTGAAACCCCTTCGAGAGTCTCCTAGGGAGGTCTTCAGGTACAGGTAGAGGTTATTACTGGTGGACATGAGGACCGTTGGGTTGTCCTCGGATTTTCCAGTCAGTCTGGCCACTGGACGACTCATTGGGCTGTCGCCGTCTCGCACGAGGATGTAGTCTCGGTCTGTCTCCAGGTCCATGTCCTGGATTTCGAGGGAGATTATCTTGCCGGGCTGGGCTTGCAGGATGTACAAGCATTCCAGGCCTCCCGGGTAGTTCTGGGGGTACCCGGGGGAAGTCAGAACTTGTCCCTGGGGTGTGGCTCGTAGGATTCCTCCGCAGGTCTGGGGCTCTGTCTTCCACGAGGCCCGGAAACCCTTTCGCTCGACTGAGCCGTCGGTGCTGAATTTGATTATCATGAAGTTGGAGGCTGATACGAAGAGCTTGTTGGAGAGCTCTTGCTTTCCGGAGAGGGTGGCAAGGTTCACTGATTTCTCTTCGGTTCTACCGCCCACGAGAATCTGAACAATGTCGAAACTCTTTTCGGTTTCGAACTCTTGGAATTGGAGGAGAATGTTGTGCCCTTGGGGACCCTCCAGCGTCCATTTGCAGTTGCTCAGGGGTGTGTATTTGTGAGGGTAGTTCGGGGATTCAACCACGTCACCACTGCTTGCCATGTAGAACTGGCAATTGTTGGGACAGTCGATTTCGTCAGAGAAGTCGCCGCAGTCGTCCTGCTTGTCGCACTTGAAGGCGGAGTTGATGCATTTGCCATTGGAACAATGGAATGATCCTAGGATGGGAGAGCAAATTGAGGTGAGTGATGCAACATGTTTTGTTGGCGGTGTTGGGGGAGGGGGCGGGGGGTTTACCTGCCGGACAGGCGGAGGCTCGACACATGAATGGTAGGAGCGACTCGCAGGTTGTTAACTCCCAGGACTGCTGCTGGTCATCGGTCACGGCTACGTCCACGCACTCACCGGATGCTGGGTTCGGCTGCTTCGATGCCCAGAAACCTTGAGAGGGTATTTGGTAATTAGAGATTTTGCAGATTGTGGGGTAAGTTTTTATATATACTTTTTTAGAATTTTTTTGGCTTTCATACATGGACCTAGAGAGGTAGTGTATTTTGATTGAATAAATGAAAAAATTATTGTTTTTGTTCGAATCCTCTTCAAAAACAGAATTTCCTTTTTTTTGAAGGAAGGTAAAGGATTTCTTATAATGTTTTATATATTTTTTTATTATTTTCTTTTTTTTTTATTATTCATTTCTGTCAATCGATTCTGATTTTTCTATTGAAATTCTCGGGCTTAAGTTCTTGGGCTGCCATTTGCTCTTAGTTGAAATTTCGAGGAATATCTTCGAACCTAAGGGAGTCATCGAAATTTTCGTAGTAACTTTTTTGTCGAGCAAATTAAGGGTTACAAAAAAGGTCGTGACAAAAATTTTGCTATTCACCTTAGATTCTGAAATAAGTTACTCTTTGGACTCAATCGAATTGTAATATAACTCCAACATTTGAAAATCAATTACCTCATCCACCATTTCAAAAAATAATTTTTTCAACATTTTCCCTTTAACGTGAATCGCCGCGCGTAAGAATGCAACCCGTAAATAACCGTCTCTAATATTGAATTATGCAAATGGGAAAAATGGGAATTACCTCAATGCTCGCGTGAATCTCACAAGTGTGGGCATTGTCGTGCGAGGATATGGGAAAAGTGTGTCTTCGTGCCGACGAGTCTCACAGTTCCGCATTTCCGCGACCTCGATACGATCGCCGGAGCCTCTTTCGTGTGTACAATTGTGGTATTTTACGTCTACCTATTCGTATTATATACGTGTTGATGTTTGAATCGAGACCGTAAACGTTAGACGCGAGTCAACGATTTATTAATTGCTCCATTATGTCCCGTCAAGTGGCCATGACGCCTCCGTGAATAGACGAGGTAAATTGAGAATACGAAGAAAAAATCATTCTTTCCAATTAACTCGCGCAAAATTAACAAATAATGGATGGGTATTGCGTTTTAATAACTGCATAACTGTTGTTTCTTTCGCGTGGTATGACGATGGCTAATGTGTTACTCACCGGCATACTGGGACACGAGCATTCCCGCTGCAGACTCCAGGGTGTTTGTGCGAAGATCGTCCAGGGATGCTAGTCCCAACCAGTAACGATCCAAGTGCCTTCCGATCATCCCTGATGTTAAGTTGTTTTCCATGTAGGATTCTACCACCATGAGATCGCTTCCGTACCTAATTACAATGATTCGTTAACTCTAGATTGGTCGTTTTTCTTTAATCACAATTGACTGGCTAAAAATAGATAGAGAAGAAAAATGTAGTTTCAGCGATATTTACCAAAGACTCACTCCGAATACTACTTCACTCATCCCGTTTTACCACTTCACTGAGTTCTGAATTCATTTGCTATTCACTAGAATAACTTATCTCACTTTCCTAGAAATATATCTCATTGAGTATTTACCTCCTGCATAATTCCGCAGCTTTTTCCCACGAATGCCTGATATTGAAGAATTTGTAACAGTAAATTCCTTTCAGTTCCCATCCTGAAATAGATAACCACAATGATTTTTTAATTTAATGACACTCAGCAAGGGCGGAAAATTGAAGATAAATCAAAGCTTGCTAATGTGATTGGAAATACACCCAAAAAATAATATTTTATTTTACGATCTGAAATGTCTTACAATGAATTGGAATCTTTCATAGACTCAAGTTGGTACTTTTGCGTGCTTTAAGTTGAGACTTTCGGAACTTGACGTGAAATTTTTCTTCAAGTGGAGTTCTGAAAGTCTCAATTTGAGACGTTTGAAAGTTTCAACTTGAGACTTTTGAAAATCCCAACTTGAGACTATTGAAAGTGGCAATTTGAACCATTTGAAAATCTCAATTTAAGATCATATGAAACATTGAGACTTTCATAGACTCAAATTCGTATTTTTACAAGCTTCAAGTTAAACTTTCGGAACTCAACTTGAAACTTTCCTTCAACTAGAGTTCTGAAAGTCTCAATTTGAAACCTTTGAAAATATCAACTTGAAACTCTTGAAAGTCTCAACTTGAGACTTTTGAAAGTTTCAACTTGAGACTTTTGAAAGTTTCAACTCGAGGCTTTCATAGACTCAAATTTATACTTTTGCGAGCTTCAAGTTGAGCTTTCGAAACTCAACTTGAAATTTTCCTTCAACTGGAGTTCTGAAGGTCTCAATTTAAGACCTTTGACAGTATCAACTTGAAACTTTTGAAAGTTTCAACTTAAGACTTTCATAGACTCAAATTGACACTTTTGCAAGCTTCAAGTTAAACTTTTGGTACTCAACTTGAAATTTTCCTTCAACTAGAGTTCTGAAAGTCTCAAGACCTTTGAAAGTCTCAACTTGACACTATTAAAACTTTCAATTTGAAACACACGAAAATCTCAATTAGAGACCACATGTCTCAAATTAAAGCTTGTATTTTCGGGTGTAAGCTTGCAAGTTGAGTATTGACTATCAGCTGTGAAGAGCCAAACATCGGCTTGTCGGAAAGGCGGTTAATCGGTGACCTACAGGGGGGTATGACGATGTTCGAGTGCCAACGAGTCGACCTCGATCGTTTTTAGTGCGCCAACGATATACACTGATGCTGGCCAAGAGCCGGCATTGGCTTTTTGATGTGTATATCGAGACAAACCCGGAGAAAAGAGAATACGTGTGTGGCAAAGGAATCGAGGAACGTTGGAGAAACGCTCGATTTCGATTCTGGCTTCCTCTCTGTCCACGCAAACGGGTTATCGGTACAACGACCCAATAAATACCAGACTTGGACAATTCATTCATGTCAATTCTATTCTTTTTCTCTTTTTCTTTTATTCAACGCTGAGGGAAATCGTATGCATGATGCATTCTTTTGGCGCTGCGTTAATTGCGTGTGCACTGGAATTTTTCGATGAAATTGTTGAATTCCGGGCTACATACGATGGGAGGATGTCAACGGATGGGTTATCTGTGTCAATAGGAATCAAGGGGGAAAAGCACATTAGACAGTTCAAAAAATCGTTTTTTTGTTGCAAAATCGTTGAAATTCTTTAAATTTTCGATGAAAAATACTTGGAAAAATTCTGAGATGTAGCTTGAAATATGAATGAAATGACCTCGCAGTTTGAATTGATTCCAATCATTTCTTCCCCTTCAAAAAAATTCGTAAAAAATCCATACTATTTCAATCGAATTTTATTCGATTTCGTAATATTATAAAAGGATAAAAAATTGGGAATAAATTCCTAAAAATTATTCTACTAAAAATTTTTGGCTGAAATTCACGGGATTCTTTTCTGAAATTTTTCTCACATTTGAGTTCCATAGAAATTTCAGGAAATTTCGTAATTGAAAAGTCAGAATTTCATGGAAAAATCAACGAGACCTGTAAAGTTCAGTTCACGTTCTCCGAAAAGTAGCCGTATAATCAGGAAAATTTCAGTAAATATATTATTAAATTGGCTGAAGGCCCTCGGGCGATGGCCATTTGCAAGTCCCTTGGAACTGCAACAAATTCCGTTAAAAATAAAAAATAACATATTATTAAATTTTTTATTAATTAAAATTCATCGTCATTTGGCTCTGAATATTCACGATTTCATTAAAAATTCAAATAAGTTAAGAAATTCTCAACTCAATGCTATTCAAAAAAGTAGAATTTCCTTGAATTTTCTGTGAAATCTGAAATTTTATCATTTTTTCTCCCTTAAATCGCATTCAAGGTCACTCTCCTAAAAACTACTAGTCGACTGTCTATGAAACTTCAATTTCCTTTCAACAGCGTTCTGACAATCAAAACTTTTTTTCTCTATGAAACTTCAAACTTTTTCTCTACACAAAAATTTGTATTCTATTTTTCACGCATTCTTACAACTTAATTGACTTCGTACGACGCAATCCACAAATAACTGGCCATTGATTATTATAATTACAGCAGGTCTGACAATCCCAACGACAGTTAATAATTGCCTCCATAATGACCACCAAAACATCACACAATATTAATAACATGCAATCGTATTTATTTTTCATAAACTCCTGGTACTTCAACTTCAATCTGACGTTTGAAAAATCGGAATGTAACTGGCGATAATGTTCCCATGAATTTCTAACAGTAGAGGCAATCACGGTGAAAAGATAATATTGGGAAATTATGGAAATGTTTGGGTGTAAATTTTTAAAACCCAGTACGATTATGTAATTGAATTTTCTTGCTTTCGAACGATTAAATGGCTTGCTGAACATTCTCTCCTTCATTCCGCGACTCTTGGGGACTTTTACTTCATCTCGAAAGGTCAACGGGCCATGGGACGTGTTCAGAAACACCTTGATGATGCTTTATTCATTGTATGTGTATGTAAACATGCGTTCAAGGATAATGAGTGCATAGGAGGTACTCCTCGGCGAGTCTTATTGAGAGTTGATATAATGAGTGAACGCGGGAGACAAAATATGCTCAATTGGGGGATGGCTCTTTCAATTTGAAGATGATTGTTTTGTATCAGACCGGAGTGTAGCAAGCCCTCTTAAGTGTAATATAAGGGTCAGGCACTAAGTGTCAGAATATAAGGGTCAAAAAGTGGAGGTTAAAAAATGAGGGTCAGAATATTAGGGTCAAAACATCAGGGTCAGAATATAAAAGTAAAAAAAGTGAGTATCAGGCAATGAGGGTCTAAATACAAGTCATATATTATGCTTGATCACCGTTTTTAGCCCTTATATGACCCTCATTGCCTGACACCCACTTTTTTTACTTTTATATTCGGACCCTAATTTTTTTATCGTAATATTCTGACCCTCTTTTTTTAACCCTAACATTCTGACCCTCATTCCTTCACCTTTACATTCAGGCCCTCAGTTTTTGACTCTAATATTCCAACCCTCATTTTTTTAACCTCCACTTTTTGACCCTTATATTCTCACACTCAGTGTCTGACCCTTATATTACACTTGAGAGCGCTTGGTACAACCCGGGCTGATACGAAATAATCATCCGAGAATTGAAACACCCATCCCCCATTCGAGTATAAAATATACTTGAAGAATGCATTTTTTTTTAATTTCAAAAACTCAATTTAACGTGAATGGAAACGCAAATAAAAATCACATTTAGTTTTGAATAAAATCCTGATTATGAACTAATAACTATGATCACTATGCTACTTTTGAATCGAACAAAATTGAATAAGGATCGCATGCAATAGAATAAAAGTAATAAAAAAAACGTAAAGTACAAATACTGTTACTGGAGACTCGGGGTTATCTGAGATTATTTTTAGGCCGCGGATGATGACAGGGGAGTGTAGGAGACTACAGAGCGATATGCAGTACGATGAGGCCAGACTCACGACTGTGGAATGCCGTTCTTCCTCTTTCTCAATTTACCGCAGTGTCCTAAAGCATTATGTTCCTACAATTTTCGGCCTTGATCCCTTCGTTCACTCTTTCTAATGGGATTTGAAATATTTTTATTGGGGCATTATTTCGGGGATATTCCGAGGACAATTGACTTTTAGCGGCATGAACCGACGTGAAGGTGTCACGTGGTCTCGAATACTGCGCTCTGATTGGGCGAGCCGGGGAGGAAGGAAATTCTCGGTATAATTCTCTTCTGATTGGCCCACGAGACGTCCAATACTGCAATTCTATTGGTTGAACGGGAGATTTCGTGATTTTCCTCTCTCTCATAAATCAAATCCAATGTTTTAAAATAATATCGAGTTTATTAATAACATAAAAATTTTTATTCCAAAAAAATCTTCTGCGAAAAAAAAAAATTGCGCGGGGGCATCACGAGTTCGAGTGATACATCATCATTCACATGGCGAGTAATCGCATACATCATGCAGTGATTCGTGACAATGAGCGTGCAATTGCATCTGTTCTCTGGTACACGTGTTCAAACTCCGTTCCACTTTTCTCCTTTTACATTTAAAGTCTACACTGTGCTGGCAATTATGTAGGTCTCTTATCCCCATAATGCCTGGTTGCTTGGCGTCATCGCTGAGGATTAAACTTCTTCCTCAAGTTTTTCTCTCCTTCCTCGAATTTTTTTAGAATCCGTTAGACTCAGAGGAGCTAGTCGAGTGTGTCCATTTGGTTGGTGCACGTTTTGTGCAGTGGTGAGGCCTCGTTTAGCCGAGCCACTAGGTTCCACTCCGTTTCCTACTTTTTCCCAACTTCCATTGTAGGGTACATTCTTCAGTGGTTTCTTTATATTTACGGGACAATTATTTCATTCATAAATTGAGGGTTTGGTTATTCATGGAATTTAACTTTTTTTCTTTTTTCCTTCATTTTCAGGAAGAAATTATCTGTATTCTTTTTTTCTGAATGATTAAGAATGGAGAATTTACTGTGAATGGAAACTCGAGAATTTTTTTATTCAGAAAATTTGTTGGATGATCAATTATTTTTTATTTTAAATTTAGCTTTTTATCTTCTTCTTCATTTTTAGGGAGACATCAGCTGTATTATTCCGTTGTGAATATTTACGCATCAGCAATTTATTTTAAATGAAAAACAGAGAATTTTTCATTCGGAAAATTTCTTGGATTATCAACATTTTTTAATTTTGGATTTAGACTTTTCTCTTTTTCTTAAGAATAAAATCATTTACATTATTCCTTTGTGAATGATTGCGAATGGAAAATTATCCTCGGATGAAAGCAAAGAATTTTTTATTCACACAAAATTACTTGCATGATCAACAATTTTCTGTGTAAACACTCAAACGTCAAATTAGAATCAATTGCTCAATCATCATCAATCAGGAGTATTCGGAACAAAAAAGAAATTATAGATGTGAATCTAACGGGATAGATTATGGTATACATTTTATAACCGTAAATTTTCGACGTGAATCATTGTTAAAAAATGGTTTTATTTTTTCACAGTTGGATTGTTGCATGATAGTTTTCATTGAATACAATCTATACTTTTTGTTCTAAAAAATCATGACGTTGTGAGGATTTAGAGCCGATTGGGAAATTCGCCCACACCTCATTAATATTTCATTATTTAAATAAGGAGTTTTTAAAAAAAAATTTCCACGTCTTTCGAAGTTTGAATTGTTTAAGTTTTTTTCTCCAATTTTTTTTGTCATCAAGTTGTTTTGATGAATTTTTTTTCCGAAGTTTTTCTAATGGAAGGTTTTTAAACATATACCCTAAATTTAAAACGATTGATTTTATGGAAGGTCATGTGGAATACAAAAAAAAAATTGTTGAAAAATATTGAAAATTGAAGAAAAATTAAAATTTTCGACAGAAAAAATGAAAAAAAAATCGGATGCACATGTCTATCACAAAAGTCAATTATAACATGAATGAGAGATTTAAAATCTATCCCCCCTCCTCTTCCTACATCGGTCTATTACATTTTCCAATGCGGGACCAGCTTATGAATTCAGCCAATTCTGAATATGATTTTCCAGATTTATCCTAATTTGATTATTGGTTGAGCTTTTTGTGATAAAAATATCTATCGAATTTACTTTTCAACTTACTTATTGAAAAATTGCTTTTTTCGATTTTTTCGGTTCGTAAAAAACCTACTCTTACAATTTTCAATATTTTTAAACCAATTTTTTCGTTGTGTATTCGATACGATGTTCCGCACAATCAATCGTATGCAATTTGAAATGACTCAATTCCTTCTGTTGAATAAAAAATGAATGTTATTGAAAAATGAAAATTTCATGATTTGTTTCATACCTATACTTATTTCCACAAAGAAGAAATTGGAAAAAATTTACCAAAATTTCCCATCAAGTACTTGTGGTATTTAAAAAACGCAGTGAGACCCCCACCCCCTACATATAATCAATTTTCCATTCGTAATAACCATTAAAATAACAATAAAATATTATTTTATTATTATATTATTATAATATAATAATATAAAACCCAATAAGACATACATATACATTATATTTTTATAATATATGTTTTATTATATTATTATAATAATAAAATTATATTCTATTATATTAATATTAAATAATAAAATATGTTGATGGCAATTATAATCTTCAACATAGAGTTCCCCATCTGAAATGCACCCCTGAACCATTTTAACACATTGTTTTTCCACTTCTTATTATGAGCATGAACACGGAATGAATTAGAGTAGTCGTAGAACGACAAATAAGAACATGAGAGGATTCCGGGAATTTTGCTCAAAAGCCTGTGTTCGTTTTTCTGGTCTCATCTTGGAAAATTTTTCCGACCCCCTGAGAGAAATCTCCGCAGTGCACCTGCCGCTGGGTAAACGAGGGGAACCCAATCTACCTGGGAATGAGGATGCAGGGCTCAGATACCTGCTCACAATGCGGGAGATGAAGGTGGAATGTCAAAGGTGAATTATGACTTACCGTTTGGACATGTGAAGACGTTGTTGGAGACCTGAAAAAAAAAGAATTATTAATTTCTCTTCGGTGACTTCGATCACTAATTTCTTGTGTCAATTATCACGCTGATATAGGCAATAAGCAGCGTAAAATTTTATGAATAATTTTATGAATATTAGTGAATTCATTATGAATTTATTCTTCACGAATTTCATGAAGAAATTGAAATTCTGGACAATTAATTGGTAATTAAATTTAATCACAAAATTATCTAAAAAATGAGTATTTTTTTAAGAAAATAAACACTCACTTTCTAGACAATTCCAATAGCTCAGCTAATATAGCATCGAATGACAGATTTCCTAATTATAAAATTATCTTAGAAACGAGTGGATTTTAGGAGAAAGTGTTGGAAAGGAATTTTTCGTTTGTCGTCGACTGAAAATCTCAATATTTCTGATTATAAATAGATATCAAGATACAAATTGAAGCAAATTCAGTTGAAAAAATTTTGTGGGAAAAATTTTCTGACATTTCGTTAAAAAATCACAAAATAAGAAGAAATAACTCGGTAGCAAGAATCGACTTATGTCGTCATTTACACAAAATTGTTTTTTTATTTCGTTGGTTTTCTTTATTTTTTCCATTTTTACTCATTTTTATGGCATAATTTAACTGAAATTTACAGTATCAAATTTTTTCAATCAAATTATGAATTTTCAATTATGAAATTCCGCGAAATTTCAGTGAAACAGTCACTTCAGAAAAATTTTCAAGAAGTGAAGCGAGAATTTCAACCAAATATTTTTAACAGTGGAGTTAGCGGCAATGCACATGAACAACAATGACTGGTAATGAGAGTAGCCTGAAAATTGAAAAAATTCAATGTACGATGACATAACGGTGAACGAATTCCAACGAGATCGAGTGCATTCGCGTTGGAGAGTATCTCCAACGTCTGGACTGACTCTTGTCCCTGGAAACACGAGTAATCTCCCCTCAACAGTAAGTATTGCGTTCCTTCCTGGATTGAAAGGTGCAAGCGAATAAAAAATAAGATGAAAAAGAAAATGCGAATGGAAGAATGAGAATATAAAAGACGTAACAAATGTCAGACGTAAGAGGCATTTGCATGGAGTTCACTTTCAATCTTGTCAAAGCATAGTGCCGTACAATTTTGTTACAGTAATGCTTTTCAGCGAATTGGGTTGCATAAAAAAATGTGAGAAAAATACTTTGTCGCGGGTTTGAATGAAATGTGAGGGAAATGAAGCTGAACCATTGCGAAAAAATCGGTTACGCTGTTGGAAATTCTTTGAAATTTAAGGAACAGGTGCAGTTAAATTTTCAATAGTCTGAACTTGAATTCAATTTCAGACTAAATTGGAATTCCTGATTCATCTTGGAAATTCAATAAAATTAAGTTTTTGATTATGAATGATCATTGAATTTTCAACGGCAATTGTGATTTTGAAACCTGTCGCGAAAATTAAGGAACGGATTGAAAATTCCGAAGATGAGTTGCCTGAATTTTCAGGAACTTCAGTAACTTTCATTTTTTGGATGAAAAAAAAAAATTAAAAAATATTAAATTGGCTCAATTTATTAAAAAAATGAAATCTGTGTTTTACATGTATTTTTCAAATTTATAAAGAATATATAAAAAATACAACAAGATCAGAATCAAGGGCTGAATTAAGGTGAATGATCCTACCCCCATGAAAAAATTTATAAAAAATATATATAATCTGGGCCACTTCCACATATTTTTTTTTTCTTTATAAATTTGAAAAATATACGGAATTGGCCCACATTACATATTTTCTTAATAAATATTTTGATGGGGGTAGGATCATTCACCTTAATCCTGCACTTTTCATAATCTCCCGATTTTTTATTTCTCATTCCTCTCTCCAATCTATAATAGTGTTGAATTGAATTCTTCGTAAGACGTAAAACCCGTTGGTGGAATGCCCCGGTGTGTCTGTAGGTGCCCCTTTCGGGCCCAGAGAGGCGTGCGTGAATACTGAGTCTCGCTTTCACCGTTCGGGCATTACCGACACAACACACATCCTAGAGCTGTATGAAAATATGTTACTCAGCATCGAGTGAGTGTATGTCTCGATCGAGGAGCTACGTCAATTATTTCGCAGGCTGGGCCCACGGCTCGTCAGGTGTTTCTCAACCAGTAAAATGTGTATGTGGAGTCTGTAGGATTCAATGTGTTTTTTTTTCGATGGATTATCATGGGAATTGCGAGGTGGACACGAGTCCGCAGGGAGTTCGATTAATCTTGAAATTACGTAAGGGGGATTCTGGGGGATTACAGGGTGTCCCAAAATTCATCTGACATATCGTGGGGGTAGCTTGGGGGATTTATTTGGAGGTGAAAACTTTAACGAAATTTTTGTCTCCACCGCTTCGTTCAGAAATTATTCGTCAACAAAGTAGTTTAAAAATTTAAGAAATGGTTTCATCCAAGATGTGTGAACTCTCGGCCTTTTACGTTTTGCACGCCTCCCAAGAAAGTAGTGTTAGAAAAAATAATGAAATGGTGGTAATAACACATCTAGATAAGCCATTTTGGTATCTGAATCTTAACCCTTAAGTGGCCGCATAATGCGGGAATCCCCGACGGTTTTTGATTTTTTTTTTTACACAAAAACTTCGTGAATGAAAAATCCGTAAAAATTTGGAGTCCTACTTTCCAATGTATGGAACACACCAACATTTTTTTTCGGTCCAAACTTACGCCAGTGAATTATTAAAATCTTCTCAAAACTTGACTCGGTGACGATCCCCATGTTTAACCTCAAAATTTCATAATTTCGATTAATCTTGAAATTACGTAAGGGGAATTCTGGGAGATTACAGGGTGTCCCAAAATTCATCTGACATATCGTGGGGGTAGCTTGGGGGATTTATTTGGAGGTGAAAACTTTAACGAAATTTTTGTCTCCACCGCTTCGTTCAGGAATTATTCGTCAATAAAGTAGTTCAAAAATTTAAGAAATGGTTTCATCCAAGATGTGTGAACTCTCGGCCTTTTACGTTTTGCACGCCTCCCAAGAAAGTAGTGTTAGAAAAGATAATGAAATGGTGGTAATAACACATCTAGATAAGCCATTTTGGTATCTGAATCTTAACCCTTAAGTGGCCGCATAATGCGGGAATCCCCGACGGTTTTTGATTTTTTTTTTTACACAAAAACTTCGTGAATGAAAAATCCGTAAAAATTTGGAGTCCTACTTTCCAATGTATGGAACACACCAACATTTTTTTTCGGTCCAAACTTACGCCAGTGAATTATTAAAATCTTCTCAAAACTTGACTCGGTGACGATCCCCATGTTTAACCTCAAAATTTCATAATTTCGATTAATCTTGAAATTACGTAAGGGGAATTCTGGGAGATTACAGGGTGTCCCAAAATTCATCTGACATATCGTGGGGGTAGCTTGGGGGATTTATTTGGAGGTGAAAACTTTAACGAAATTTTTGTCTCCACCGCTTCGTTCAGGAATTATTCGTCAATAAAGTAGTTCAAAAATTTAAGAAATGGTTTCATCCAAGATGTGTGAACTCTCGGCCTTTTACGTTTTGCACGCCTCCCAAGAAAGTAGTGTTAGAAAAGATAATGAAATGGTGGTAATAACACATCTAGATAAGCCATTTTGGTATCTGAATCTTAACCCTTAAGTGGCCGCATAATGCGGGAATCCCCGACGGTTTTTGATTTTTTCTTTTCACACAAAAACTTCGTGAATGAAAAATCCATAAAAATTTGTATTCCTACTTTCCAATGTATGCAACACACCAACATTTTTTTTCCGTCCAAACTTACGCCAGTGAATTATTAAAATCTTCTGAAAACTTGACTCGGTGACGATCCCCATGTTTAACCTTAAAATTTCATAATTTTGCACGTTTTTAGATCGAGTTTTTAAATTATTTGACAACTATTTCGCTTCTATACCCTCATTTCTTATTTATTGAAAGGTCAAAATTACTTGTAAACGTGGAGAACATTTTTTTGTTCAACTTTTTTTTTCTCGAAATCGTAAAATATCGTGTGATCGTCTTCGGTGCACATCTACGGTCACTTAAGGGTTAAAGTTAATGGAAAATCTGAGTAGTACATCGAATAGTTTCAACAATGTAAAAATCCATTTATTGATAACTTGTAAACAAAGCGTCGGAGACGAAAATTTCATTAGAGTTTTCACTGTAAAAGTGGAGGAATAATCAACTCCTACCTGAGTATTCGCTAGATGAAGATGGCACAAGAAAACGGCGACCCAGCCGGCCGCCACAGCTCTTATCAACATTTTTCTGCAACAGAAGGAAAATCATTCATCAGAGATTTACAACTTTGGAACAAGTTTTTTTGCAATGCTCCTATTAAACATTAACTATACAAAAAAACACGCGGAACAGATGCAGAATTTTTCAATAAGTCAGAAAAAAATTAATAGAATTTTTGAAAGAAGCCCAACAAAATTTTCTGGTGAGTTCGCTAGACTTTTCTATAAATTCGTTTCGTGTAGTGCGGGTTGTTGTGCCTGGATTGATTGATGTAGGATTATTTTCCCCAGGATCACTCTTATCAGAACTGAATCACGGGAGGTTGAGAAGAATTTCCCGATAATTTCCCGTGACATGACACCGGAATTGCCTCGAACGAATTGATCTCGGCAATAACAATTTGACGACTCATCCCAATTGATGAGAAAACAAATACTAAATTACATTTCTGTTCGGTGGGATGAATCAAAACCAATCACCCACAAAACGACGGTGGTTTCGGGCGGATGATATATGGAACCTGTTCTATATTTCATTCTTGTTCTATTTTTTATTGTTATCCGAAAAAATTCGGAAAGGTAATCAATTTGAACATAATTATCCTCGGGTGCCTAAGGTTTTTGTCATGACCATTGGATTTAGTATAGTTTTTTTCATCGCCCTTTATTTTTCACTTTTATTTTTTTGCTTTCGAATGGAAGTGTTGTATTCGTCAGACCCGAAATTACCATTTTTTCTGACCGATTGTTTTTTAACACTAAGTAAAATGATTTAAATAATTTTTTATGGAAATGAATAAAAATAATATTTTAAATGAATCCAATTATAATTTAAAATCTGTTTCGAAAAAGCCATCTTGAGATCGATCGTGAGGTTGATTGAATCATCTATTGCTGAAAAATTTTCATTTGAAACCAATTTTCAGGGCAAAGTAAACAATTTTAATGTTGGGGCAGTGTTGGCGAATTCAATTAAAAATCACGTGTGAAAAAATTCAATAGAAACTTTCTAAAAAAATTCTATTGGAATTCTCTAGAAATTGTAGTGGGATTTTATTAAAATTCTAGGGAATTCTCGTTAAAGATATTTGTTTTTTGCATTGATTCTATGAAAAAAAAATTATCATTATATTTTACTGAAAAGAATTATTATTATTTTAAATAATAGATTTTTCAGTTCATAAAACGAAAAATAATTTGATATTTAGTAGAAAAAAGTCAATAGTTTTCGATTTTTTTATATGATAAATCTAAATTTTCTGTATCTGACGTGATACACCATCAAATAATATTTTTATCACCGTCTGACACAAAATATTTTATGTCACTGAGTCCGAAATTAAAATAGTCATAAGTTAATAATGTATATTTTGGCGCCTTGTTCTTGAAAAAATTAGAGGGCCACATTTTACGTTTTTGGGTGGACCGCATTAATTTCGAAGGGACTCGCACGGGATTGTCATGTATTTTTCTCTCGGTGCAGATAAAAATATCCAGTTCAGGGGCGATTTGGTCTGAGCGGATTGCTTCGAAAAAATAAAACAATACTCCGATCGAAATTCTTGAGCGGCCGCATGGTTCTATTCCGGTCATAACACGTAGGAGGTTGGTTTGCAGGGTCGGTCTCACCGCTATCCAGTCATCCCTCTCGTATAATAACCGGTCTTTTTCGATCCGTGGGTTCTTTTGTGTCCCTCCTCGCTCTTCGGATAATTCGTAGAGGACGTGCCTCTTCGCCCCCTACTCCATCCTCGGGGTATTATTGTCCGAGGAATATGAGCCTCGACGTGACTCAACCGTGGAGACTTGTCTCTTTTTTTTATTGTTTGATAGACAGCATCCAAGGGAAAATTTCATGGACAGAAAAAATAGCGTAAAAGTCAATCATGAGAAGGAGGAAATAAAAAGTGCCGTGTCCTTCGCGCGGTTTTATTTATGAAAGCCTGTCACTCGATTAGCAATTTATAATCCGGTTAGCATAAATTCCTAACGGTTTATCTCACTACTGACAGATGAAGGAATCGATTTTTGAACGATTAAACATCATCAACATTGTATTTAACTCGGGTTACGCCCAGTGGAATTTTTTTTAAATGAGTTTCAATCAAGTTCATAGATTTACTGTTGGAAATTTTTAGTCCTTTGGGGTGATATTTTCAATGAAATTTCAAGAAATTTTGTCACTGAAAATTGACAATTCGGAAATTTTGATTTAATTATTGCGTGGAAATTCATGAACCTGAAGAAATTCAGTAAATTAATTTTAAAAATTTGGATTTAAAATGCGAGACGAGAATTAGGGAATTCTCGTCTTCTTGCTGCTTCAAAAGTAGGAATTCCATTGAATTTTCAGGGAAATTTGAAATTCTATAATTATTTCCCCTAAATGAAATTTAATGCTGCACACCCAACAATTACTACTAAACTTTGAATGACTTTGGGAATTCAAATGACAGTTCAATTGCAATTTGAAAGAATTTCATAACTGAAAATTCACGATTTCATGAATGAATTAATGAAAACTGTAAATTTTACTTCAATTATTCCAGAAAACTTGACTTAAACATTCATGTTTCCATTGAAAATTCTAGTAAGTTGGAGGAATTCTCGTCTTCCTGCAGCTCGAAAATTTAGAATTCCATTGACTTTTCAGGGAAATTTAAAATTCTATAATTATTTCCCCTAAATGAAATTTAATGCTACACACCCAACAATTATTACTAAACTTTGAATGACTTTGGGACTTCACGTGACAGTTCAATTGCAATTTGAGGAATTTCATAACTGAAAATTCACGATTTCATGAATGAATTAATGAAAACTGTGAATTTTACTTCAATTATTCCAGAAAACTTGACTTAAACATTCATGTTTTCATTGAAAATTCTAGTAAGTTGGAGGAATTCTCGTCTTCCTGCAGCTCGAAAATTTAGAATTCCATTGAATTTTCAGGGAAATTTGAAATTCTATAATTATTTCCCCTAAATGAAATTTAATGCTGCACACCCAACAATTACTACTAAACTTTGAATGACTTTGGGAATTCAAATGACAATTCAATTGCAATTTGAAAGAATTTCATAATTGAAAATTCACAATTTCATGAATGAATTAATGAAAACTGAATTTCGGCGGAATTTGGCGTAAATGTTCATGTTTTGTTTGAAAATTCAAATAAATCGGACGAATTCTCTTCTTCTTGCAGCTCAAAAATTTAGAATTCCATTGACTTTTGAGTGAAATTCGAAATTTCATAATTTTCTCTCCCTAAGTGAAATTTTAGGTTGCCCAACAATTACTACTCAACTTTGAATGACTTTGGTAATCCAACTGACAATTCTACTGAAATTTGAAGGAATTCCGGCACTAAAAATTCACAAAAAAACTTAAAAATTAAATAAAAAATCAAAAATTAAATTTGATTAAAAAATCAATGAAAGCTAGAAGTTGCAGTTCAATTACTCGATAAGAATTAATCGAAATCAGTATTATATTCAAGAATGTGAACATATTCTAGTCAATATTCCCAAATAAGTTCAAATGAATTTCTGTTTTCCACCCAAAGGTGAACGGTTACATTAGAATTAATAAATTACTCTCCCACGTCGATGTGTAATATTCGAAACGACGTGTAGGAATGACCACTTACGAATGACGAAAAAAAGTATAAAAAATAAATCCAAGACGTATGGGCGTTACTTTATAAAACTCCATATGCGGTAACTAAACAGTACGCAACAATAGTGGCGCAAGTGTGTACAGTCATTGAGTTTAATGTTTTGTTGTTGTGCATACCCATCGCACTAAATTCCCGTGGGAAGCCTCAGCTACCATGTGAATTGTCGTCGATCGCGAAAGTTGCCCATCCGCGGCGATTACTCTGTCGCTCAGAATCTGAAATTACACCTGTTTTCGCAATCTCCTCGTATTGTTTGCTTCCATTTTCTCTTATTTTGCCACCCAGATATATATTTTAGAGGCAAATATTGCAGGTGAATATAACTGGAACGAATTGCGTGAGAGCTGCAATTAGAGGCTTGGAAGACCTAATGAACTAGTGAATAGAAAAATAGAGATGATTCGTGACTTATTTTTAACGCTACAATAATAATCTCAACTCAACAAAATTCTATATTTAGAAATTAATGACATTAATTTCCTCAGAAAAAAAAAATTTCGTTAAGAAATTTCAACATTAATTCTGGAAAAGAGTGAATTCATCTCCAAATGTTGGAAATATTTTGCGAATTAAAAACTTTCTAACAAAAATTTTTTTTCCTATTCATTAAAAAAAAGTTGAAAAAATTTTCTCGTTAATGCGACAGATTCCCACAAAAAAAAATCTCTCGATGATTGACTTTTCTGTTACTCATATGCAAGACACTTCGAAAATTACAATTCTTATTAAAATACAAGAATTTTTGTCGTAAATAAAAATGACGCATTTTCCAGAAGAAAACTGATGATGATCACGTACGTAGGATACGGATCAACCTCCACGGACATTCACTAAGATATAATTGGCTATGTAGAATAACGGTTAATATCTCCTGATGACTCTGCCTGGGCGTCATACAGTTGGTATACACGGCAAACGAGTGTCAGTATTCTTCTCACTCTCGCGTTCCGAGCCCTGCGCGCTCCGACCTCGACCGCTGACAAACCGGTTTGACTTACATCCAGATACGCGGTAGCGTATCGGCCAAGTAAGCGATTCAAATACTCTGTTCGGTTGAGAGTAGCCGGGTGTTTACTAAACATCTACGATCTCCACTGGTGCTCAATGAGAATTGTTTGATTAAGGGGAGACTACTATGCGTTTTAAACGTCGTGGGTTATTGGAGTGAGACTTTTCATACGTTGAAGATCGATTATATAAATCTGAAAACGAATAATTGGTCAAAAAAAAATTTTTTTATTGTTCGTTTGCCCGAAAACGCTCAAAATGCCCAAAATAGTCCAGGGCCTCCAATTTTTGAGCTACGAAAGATTTTTTTTTTTAATTTCCGGAAAAATATGTGGAA